TCTCTCCGTCTCATACCTTGCCGCATATGCTGTGGATATGCCACTGTACACCAGGCACGAAATGGTACAGAGGGGTACCCCCAAACAAGTCCAATCCCTATACACACTCCAGCCCATTGTCACTTAACACATTCCCCTTGATGTCTGAAAAGAATTCCCGAGGTACAATTACAATGACCAACACAAAGGCGGGGAGGTTCTCTTTGTCCCATAGTTCGCTTCATTATGTGCCACTGTACCACTAACCGCAGTCAATAACAATGGCATCAAGACAAATCGGAAAGTTACGAGCAAGCAGAGATGGATTTAGACCAAGATCAGGACCAAACCTACGACTGAGGGCCAGGTATTTAAATGTTTAAATCTCACCTTGCATTATTCTGCAAACAAAGCCTCCCAGCTGATAACAGTCCCCGACTTTCCATCTGGCATCCTGGAAGTCACCTAAATAAGGAAACGCCAAGCTGAGTATCGGAAGGATCCATATCAAGAAAAATAACGAAACGCCTTGAATCGCGGGTACTGACTCTTGCTCCATACACATACATAATGGATTAAGCATTTACAGAAAGGGGAGGGGTGTCTTAAATGTGCAAGGGGGTTGTCTCAAACCGAGGTGAGCCTGAATATAAGTCGGTCACATTTTGTAAGAATTTGCTTTCAACGAATTAATTAACCAGTCGTAAGAAAAAGAGAGAAGTAGGCAAATATGTCTCATTTAAAAAATAGTGGGAGTAGAGAAGGGCGCCGGATACGCCCCTCTTGATTCGCAACTGATTTACATGTAAACATGAGTAGATGAATTCACTAGTGCACACCGATGGACGACAGCTGAGATGTTAACTCTCTGTAGATGAACCACACTTCCTAAGTCACATGACTGCAACCGCAGAGAAAGCCGTGTCTCCAGACCCAAATCTGTCTCCATCTTCTGTGTAGTGTTCGTAAACCCATACTCAATACTCATTTTGGTTTATCATACGTTTACAATTAATTCAAGTGTCACAATAAAGGTGAAGACATGATACATTGGCTTTCACTTTAAGAAACGGTTTCTAATTCAGACTCGTCAGCGAATTGGAGTCGAGAGAGAAATTAGAGCGGGGGGGAGATAAACATTCATCCCAATCGCCACTCATCAAAAAGTTCTTAGTTTGTATGTTAGTAACTATACCTGTTGGGATATAGGCGCAATCCTTTTGGCCGTTCATAAATGGAGGTTGTGCTTTTTCCCAATGCTGATAACCGTTGCCCAGGTTTGTACCGTCGACAGCCCATTTGTACGTCCCATCTGATCCAAGATCTGCAGAGCAAGCGATTTTACGACGAGAGTCATAAATTTGGACGCCCAGATTATTTTCGACGTATTTGGGTTTGTTGGTTAAGGTCTTTTTTGTCTTTAGTTGGGATTTTTCTTTGGCTTTATTTTATGAGAGTAAATTCAGATTGCACATTGTGGAAGGAACTGGCTCGTCTTTAGAAATGGATTACATATCATGAGGAGATGCACAAAACATGATTTATTCTATGCATAGTTTTTATTGATCCCTGAAAGACAAAACATCTGAACGGCTTTCTATCATACTATTCGTATACTGGTGTTGGAGGTTGACATTTTTGGTGTCAAAGATGTACTTCAATTTAGGTACTTCACTTTAGATTCTCGAAGACAGACAAGCAAACCTGATAATCCGAAGAACATATACTGGATGCCATTGCTGTTCATATCCTTCAGAAAGGTTTTCAGAAAATTGTTTTCCACATCCCTAGTGCAAAAAAGAAAAACATAATTTAAACTTATACAACGAGGGAATAGTATTTAGCGTACTTTAACTCCATTTCTTGAAAAATTATTTTGTTTTAAAAATAGTAATTTTAGTGACATTTAATCACAATTTTTACATCCAGTTCTTGCTAAAAACATAAAGACTTAATGCATTGGACATCACAATGATACTGTAAGATTTCTAACCTCAAAAGTAGTTTGCTCTTCAAGGCTAATATGGGAACACCTTAGATATCATTTGTTAGGGATAACTAAGAAGATTCTTTTTTGTTAAAAAAAAAACAAGAAAAGTAAAAAATGATTACGGAATAATCTTAATGCAGATAGAGACACACTGTAAATAAAGTAAGGTAAAGTAAATGCATGCGCCGTCGTGAGTTAATCGCGAGTTGGTGATAAGACTGATCAATACGCTACAAACAAACACAAACTGACGATTTAATGGGAGTCAGATAAGCTCCTTGTGCGCTGCAGAAAGCCTTCGCATCTGTCCATGTCAAGAGGTTGTTTGGATCTGCGTTGCTTTGGTAACACATTCCCCCGCTGAGATGCCAACCGACTGGGCAGGTACCTGGAAACAAAGACAAAATACAAATTGATTAAGTACAGCTCGACAGACACCAAAGCTTTATCGTGTAAGGAAAAAGAGACATGATACACCAGTGAATATGTTTTTGTGATTTTTTTCCTGCACATTCTTTTTCCTGTGCGGACTCAGGATGCAGGTCGTTGCAGTTGTCTCGTCGCACATTTTGATGTGCATGTCATGCACAGAATGCCATTTTTAGAATGGTTTCCTCACCTTCTGCAATTGAGCAAACAAACGGACGTGTGCCTGAGCACTGATCTATGGTCCAGACTCCTGTGGAATTGACAACTCCACAGTCACCCTCCTTACCATACCACCTGCGGGACAAAAGAGGCCACTCCAGATAATATTCATGCTGGATTTCACATGCAAACACGGGTGCGTGCCGGTTATCACCCAAATAACTCTTAGGGCACGTTTTGGACCCACTAAGACGTATACATCTCATCCCGTCGCCAAAGGCCCTTAGACCTTTTCACTAATAAATTCATACTTATGCACGCATGCACACAAACGGCCTTAGCGGCAAGAAGTGTGAGCGAGCCATTGGAAAGGTACAGGGGGCGATTTTGACGATCATTTTCTCTCATGTTTTCTGGCTTTGTCCATTTTTTCTTCAGAAAAAACCATTAAATTCTAATCTAAGCAGGAGTTTTTGGTGTTCTGTAAAAAGACTTTGTAATCGTGATTTTTCCTTTGCGTTCGAGATCACCGTTTCTTAATATGGCCCTTTCCATCGTAAGTCGCATAAATTACATTTTTAGCGTTCTTGGATCAAAAGTTTGTAAACACGTACTAATGTTCAATGTACATTGTAATGTACCCATTCGATTCGCTGCTCTCTGCACTTGGGAAATCTAAAGAACCAGGTCCCTTTCTCTTTGGAATCTGCACTTTGTCTTGTCGAACAACCCCAAACACAACAACTGGATACCGTTTCTTTTGGTATTACTCCAAGCTAGGACCAGGTTAATGTTTCAATGTAAGCTATACGTACAGTACATTGAACATTAATATTTATGTACAGTTGCACAGGTAAGCTCCAGGAACACTAACGATGTAATTTATACTACTTATGATGGAAGGGGCCACACTAAGAAACGGCGAACTCGAGGGCACAGGAAAATCATGATTTTGATTGATGATTGTTTCTAGAGCTGTTGAAATTACTTTCACCCATCAATGGCACAACCGAGGGCGGAGCATTGGAAACGACCCCCGAAATTGAACGTCAGTCCCCATGCCTCAAGCATTATGCCATAGCTCAGAATCTGGTGATACAAGAGCTTTGTTTTGTTACATGTGCCATGATAAAATCCCTTCCCCCCAAAATATGCCACTCTCGTGTCCCTTAAGTTTCAATTTCTTTACGTGAAATTCGTGAACATATTTCTTGCAGAAGGATTTCCCCAATTAAACTTTTGTTTTTGTTTGTTGGTTTTCTTTTAGTTGGAAACCAAAGAACACTACGAGGTGGAGGTTTTACAAGACGATTAAAACATTTGATCAAAATGCCCTTACTGGTTTGTTGGCTGGTTAGCATCCCATTTACTGAACATATTTGGATCAAAGGTCGTCTTGTCCGACCACTGATATTCGCCATCATTTCCGTTTTCCTGTTCGTCAAAAGAATTGGACAAAAACAGCATCCGATACGTTATACGTGTATCTCTACATTTAACATTATATCCAAACCAAAACCGATTTAAATGTGGATTACACCATGGGTAAAATCAGAATACATTGTTTGCCTAAGCCACATTATTGTTACCAATTTGCGGCTGCCTGCTATTGAAGTAATTCTCTGAGATTTCGTATATTTCTTATGACACTAATTGAATATCTTTTTGGTGCTCTTTTTAGTATCATTTCACATATTTTGCCTGTTTCCCAAAGTACATTATGTACAGTTTGCACATAGTAACTTATATAAATGCAACCACACAGTAGCCAGACAGTAACTGCAAATGAGGGGCAACTACGCAGCTTAAAACAAACATCAAGAATGTTGATTACACAAACATGATGTTTCCCTTCAGTTCAAACCCAAACCGAAATCTCAACCTATGAGCCTAAATTGAAACACAACCGACACCATTCACGCACAGGGTATGTTGTCCGATAGCCGTCGTTTTGGTATGCCCCAATTTCAACAATAAACAGTCGACTACCGTATAATCCCGAAATATCTTATTTGAAAGAAAGCACACAACAGCCTCAGTCAGTCTGTAAAATATTTCCGCAAAGAATGCTGCAGTTTTCGAGAAAACAGACCCCCCTCTTTTTCACGATGGTCGACCGACCATCGTATAAGAGTTAATTTCACTTCGCACATCACATTCGTTACCAGGCGCCAATTTTCTTGAACGTAGTGTTTGCAAATGTTATGGGAGTATCCATTAATGAACGGGTAGGCATAATACTAAAATCAGCTAAAGATGTACCAGCAGAAATTCAGCAAACGCATTGTAAACCGAAATTATAAGAAACTGAGTGTAAGATGTAAAGTAGAAAATAAATCTGATTACTGTGAAGTTAAATTTGAAAGGATTTTCTCAGCGCGAAAACTTGGGAATTCCAAATCACTCCTAGAGCATAATGGCATGATATAAATACGTGGCATTTTCTGAGCTGCCTAGGCGAAGGATTTTGGTAAGCAAAAAGTACAATTTCCTCACTACCGCGTTTCAAGACATTTTTTTCTCTTTGCTTATGATTATTAGTCAACTAAAAACGTTTTTTAGACTTTCATTGACGTGTAAACTGACTTGATCGCACACGCACGTGCAATATCATATGCTCGTTTCAGTGTCACGGACACGAGTCGACTGCATTACTGCGTGAAGTTTTTCACGAACACGCAATGTCAAGTTTTAAATTGTCAAGGAGGCGCATTACTCCAAGGTAAATTCATTGATTTCTCCTGGCCGTTGAAAACTGCTCCCTTTTAAGGGAAAGAGAACCTGTCATGCCTGTTCTCCCCATCTTGATCCCGCGGTTGTTGTTCGCTTACTACCAACGCCAGGTAGGTCTACTTCATAGAATTTACTTAAGAAACTTAAAAAGATCTTTGATTTAATGGTTGAAAATGCCGCTCTGTTTTTCACAATTTTTCACAAAGCAGTTGACTCAAAAATGAAACAAGTCAGTCGAATGTAAGTTTCAGTGCATCGTATACACTGTAATCAGCCAATCTTGTGAAATTATAAAAAAAAACCAATGGTGTACCCTACCTTTCATATATGCTCCTCGTTATAGTTATGATTATTGACCATCGCCACCTAAATTAAGATATTAGCAAATGTGAAAAACCCCCGGCATAGGGCTAGGTAACTATGTTGATAGAACGCTGGTTGTAGGTTCAAATCCCGCTGCAGCCAATTTCTTTGTTTATTTTCACGTTTAAAAGAGACCTATATGAAACACCTAGTCAGTTTCCCTATCATGACTTTTTTGATTATACGTCATCTTGCGTCGTTTTTCAAGGTAATGGTTAAACAAATAAAATAATCAATTGCTCAGGTTTTACAATGAATATTTCAGCCAAATGCTCAGTGTGTAGAACCAACACCATGGCAACTGACGTCACACTTCGGTACTCGATATGATTTCTCTTACATATGACGTCACATTTGGTTTGCGCTCTCTCCCTCTTCCTTTCAATACCTTCTTTAGTCTATTAGAAATTCCACCGAAGAAAACGTATCTACCTTATCTTGCAAACCGATCCAATAGTCACTTGTGTGCGCGGCTTGCAAATTGTCCAGATACTTTTGGTCGGCTGCAGACTTCACAGAAGTTATGTGACCACCTTTGAAGTATTTACACGTGTTTTCGGCGCCCTGCCACGTTACACCCCTGTTAAAAAACTGGTAGCATTTGCCGTTGTAGTTCGTCCAGCCGTCTGCCTCGTCGCATACTGGACTTACATCTACCGGGAAAGATAAGAGGAGTCGTAAAGGAGACATCTGAGACATCAGGATATAACGCCAAATGCCAGAATAAACCGAATTTCATTACTGTGAATGAAACAGTGTTCAGTCGGTATTTAGTGAACGACACTGCACTAAACACAGCGCCAAGGTTGTGCCCAATATAAGTACATTCTAGGTTAGTACGCACTCTTATGTTCCGATAGTATTCTGCACGAATGAGCATGTTCAGACATCTCTCGGGGCTGCAAACACAGTTAGACACTGTAAACCAGTTCACTAATAAATTCTAATTTATGTGTGCATGCGCATAAATGGCCAGTGGACGCAACAACCTTGAGAGGCCCATTGAAAATGTACACGGCCAAAAAATTCAACTCATGTCCTCTCAGCTTCAGCACTTTTTTTCAGTTTTATCTTCGGAAAACCGCCTCAAATCATTAAATCTATTACTTTCTGGTGTAAGACGAATTTTCGTTTCGTTCGTTCGAAGCGCACAAGTTCGAAAGAAATCAAGAGGGTCACATTCTGTGTGAGATATAAAACAAATTGCACGATACGTTTGGGCACCATCCACCATTCTCGTTCAACAACGTTAATTGATGCAACATGTAATTGTTTCTTCTTTTGACGAGTGCTATTAAGGGAGTATCCGTGTGAAGTGACTGCTGTTTCCATTAACTCCGTTTTTCTACATGCACAAATAATTGATATAGCCTAGTGCGAGTAGTACCCTGAAGTAATAATTGTTTAATTGGACATGGTCAGAAAAGGACTGCTGTTGATTCCTTTTGATCTCCTGCGCAATGTGAAATCCTTTTAGACCAGAAAGTAATTGATAATGATTTTGGCGGGTTTTCCCAAAGATAAAGTGAAAAAAGTGCAGAAGCGGTATGCGGGATTTGATAATGCCCCATGAATGGTATTTGATGCCTCACTTACTGGAACTTCTACTGCAGATGTAATACTTAGTTTTTGAGCAGCTATCATCGTTCCATTTCGCCGAACTGGCATACATCGTGACACAGTCTTCATTACCAGAGTTGTTTGGCTCGCCAGGATTCCAATTTCTGAAAGAAACAACTAGAGCTATGAGTTATATCTGACATTTGGTTTTGATGTACACTACTAAGTCAATAGTTTTACATAATGATGACATCGCACTTTGTTTATATGTGCACTTTCCTATGGAAGCGTTGGGAACAATGCTTGACGTCATCAGTAATGAGGTTAAATTCCAATGAAAGAGATCAATTCGGGTCTGGGAATGTGAATCTTCAATATATTCCCCTGGAATACAGGTATGCCTATTCAGTACCGTCTTATATTAAATGACAATGACCCTTCAAGCCAGAAACCAGAGAAGTCTCACCGAGTGAGGTCTTTGGCAGTAATTTGAAGGCTTTGCCCATATACGTAATGATTAGTGAGTCAGCCAGCTTGGAGTTTCAACAAGGGCAGGTCGTCGAAAATCAAGCGCTCGAAGCGCTAGAGCTAACATGTTTGGCGCACGTGGGTAAACATGCGGATATGGGTGTTCTCAAATGACCTGCCGTCAGTGCGCTTCATTTTAATGATCTGCCGATTGAAACATCATTAATGCGCATTAACCGTACTTCTTAAACCCCTTTTCCGGGTCAAATTATTGTCCAGAAAGGGTCAAATACGACCCAAAGGGGGATAATTTTTTGACCCAGAAAAGGATCACGCCAAATGGGACCCGATTCCGGGTCAATCTGACCCGGGAGTTTTTGAGTGATATAAGCTTACGTGTAACTGGAACTCGTAATAGGCGTCCCGTCTATCCATTTGAACGTGTTCTCCGCGATCACGTCGTGCAGTCCGATCCAGAACTGACCACCGACTCCAGTGAGAACATTTTTCAAGAAAGTCTTCAGGGAAATTGGGTACAAATTAGTCATTGAAAACTGAATTCTCAGTTGCAACACCATTTGTTTAAATATTTTCCTCCCTCCCTGATTTTTTTCCAAACAAGATAGAAACAGAAACATAATTTAATCCGAATGGTAGAAAAAAAACGTGCTCACAAAAAATAGGGTAAAGAGGTTTTAACATATAGTGAAGAGCTAAAGCATAGGATTTGAATTCAAAAGCATGCATATGGACGATGACAAAAACTACTTCAAACTGGTTCAACATAATACGCATATTAACTTAATGATTCAGAAAACGTTAGCAGTCGAATTTATAAAATATGCGTGAGGAAGATAACCTTAGAAGGTCAGTTTTAGGTGATTTGGCAAATTAAAAGTCAATTGGTGATTCCAGCTTCAAATAATTTCTTTGCTTTTTTCAGTTGTTGTCAGCAAAACTGGAAATTCCCCACATATTTTAAGCATTGGAGACAGTTCCAGTGATTGATTAACCAGATTCATTCGCTCTCCAAATCATCTTCTTGTTCTGCGTTTCTATAGGATAACCACGGAATGGCTGTAATGATTATCAAAGTTCATAGTCTAATACATAATCTACAAACTTTAATTTCTACGGCAAATACTGAAAAAGAACTAACTCATGAATTGTTTTTGACCAACGAGCTTTTCACAAGTTCCCATTTGGTAAGATGTGTGAAGATGATTTTGTTTTCCAGCCATTATTTTACTGTTGAGCCCACGTCACAAGCCATTTTCCCGTTGATTCCCAGTGACACTATGCATGCCCCTTACCGTAGTTGCTGCGTCAGGAATGATGGCGAGATTTCCCCCTTTCTTTTGGCATCTCTTTTGGGCCGTGCCCCATGTGCTAAACGAGGAAACCACTAAGAAGCATTTGTCGTTCAGCTGTTGCCAGCTCCCTCCACACTGCGGCACAGGAGGATTTTGAGCGGTGGCTGCACAATATAAGCAAAGAGGAAAACGAAATAATCAATTGCATTGCATTGAAATGTCCTAACAGACACAGACCTCGTGGCAAACATCTTACAAACTGCGACGAAAATATGTTGAAATCAAGGCAGGTGCATGTTTAGCCCTCAGCTGACAGAACAAATCGAATTCGGATTATCCGTAGTGTTGGAGTTTTCACTAATGACGACTGACTCGGCAGTTTCAGTACAGTGTTTAACAGCACTGGTGTGAATCTGTTTTGACGGGGGAAGGGGAGGAAATAACGCAGTGTAACAAATCATTTCACTCAAATATTGAAACACTTTCATTATCTTGACTGTCTTGAGATACCTTAGGCCAGTGGTCTGGATTCACAGTGTTCAGCACCTTTAGGGCATACCCATTCAAATGAAGTCAGGCAGGAGGGGAGTTCAACATATACGGCATCCCCTGCACTTGACTCTCCATTTTACCAAACTTGAAACGTTACCAAACGAGTATTATCAACAAACATTTTCCCATGTGCAACCTCTTCCCTTTTTATTCCAACGTCCCTCCACAAATACACTGTCCTAGCTATTAAGAATAGTTTAACGGTTAGTTTTCAAGAACTGCAGTATAGTTTCGAGCATGTTTTAAGTTACAGCTACTAATATATCGCTTTTCTCAAAGTATAGTTCTTAAAATCCACGAATGCTCTTGTTTAGTTCAAGTACTTTTCTAAGCCAGCCTTAAAATACACATATTTCTGACCTGAGTATCCAACACCGACTACTTGTAAGAAATTCTACGCAAATGGAAGAAAACGTCAAACAAACCAAAGGGAAAAATTCTTAATTCAAACTAAACACAACAAAATAAAACAGACAGAGAGTGAATTTTAAGAATGAATGATAAGATCACTTCTTGAGGTGATAAATGAAATGTTCCTCTCTGGATGGAATAGAACGTTCCGTGTACAACCGCAGTAGATGATTCTCTTTGCGGGGATGTGAAACATTCAATGTTTGCTTTACACAACGCTTAAACACATTATTGGTGGGCGTAAACCTTGCACCAACTAACACATGTCGGACGGTCAAAGGTGAAGAAATGAAATAAAGTCTGCTGAAAGATAAATGAACAAGCTGAAGCGATATCTCCCGCAAGTAAATGTAAACTTCAGGGCATTGTACAAAACCCGTTTTAGAATATTATTCAAGATCAAAGTGCAGTATATTTGCCATGAGTTTGAAATTCGTCTGTAGAAATTCATCACCACACGGTGAAAAGGCCTCAGCAATGGGAATTTTGGTGGAATTTAGGATTATACACATCATTTCATCCTCCCAGAAACCTGCACACGTACATTTGCAAGTAAAACTTCATGCATTTTTAGGTCCACGGCAGAAAGTCTGAGATTTTGTCCCACGGTGAAAGAGAAATTGGTCCTGTTTAGTCGACAATGTACAAAGTTTGTAAGGACGGATCATATGGCAGGGACAGACAGAACCAGATACTGCAGTTCTTAACAAGAAAGCTAAAAGTTTTCCCCAAATTTTTAGCAACTTGGTCTTCTTTGTAAAAAAGTACTGTTCATTTTTTTGATGCTAGAGTGCTCTCAAAGGTCTCCGTGCACGTGGGAAATAAATGAGATTGGTACAATCTGTAACACTTGTACATTTATGATATATGAATAACGTTTCAAGAATGGGGATATTCCTTTTATCCAAACTAGCTATTTTTATAAACCAAATTACCATGCAACAATGTTGCAGTACGAGATGTGATGCTTGAAACCATTACTTCCATGGTCGAATGTAAGCTTCACATTTCTGATTCAAAATAAAGTCGTTTAATGCTAAATATTTGATTAAATCTGATCCCCAAAGCTGTAAACTTTATTCAAGGTTGATTGGTGAAAAGTACTCATTTATGCAATTTCATCTGTTTTAAAGGGCAGCTTTTCTTATTATGTCCACATACTGCGCTCGTCCATGTACATACGCACAATGCACTTTAATTGTTCTGTCTGTTACGTCACAACCTAAAAGGGTTCTTTATGCATCAGGTGAGAAAATTTGCTTGCAAAATACAGTTTTTTTCTTTTCGTGCATGAGTACCGAAAACGTAATTTCTTTGGAGGATCTGATCTGAGTAATCCTGAAATTGAATGTATATTCCAAGCATGGCGTTGCCCTGTTTTAATGACTTCGGTATTGCATGGAACCAGGTACAAACGTCTTATCTGCATGTCAAGTGGTATTTACCTTTGTCAGGTAAGCTTGGCTTGATTCCTAACTAATTACTAGTATTGGCATGAACAACTACAGTTCAACGTCCAAGCAGATATCATCGATAAATACGATATAATTGTATGGAATTTTGACGGGCTGTTATCTGAGCAGACTAGCTTTTTTGTAGGTTTCTGTACATAGGCATAGTTGTCTGTTCGTTCAATCAGCACGACAGATGAACAAGCCTATTTTTCTTTCGATCTTGAGTTTGTTTTGGTTTTACCTTTTAATTAAAATGAGATGAAAAATACTAAAATGAATAATCCTGATTGACAAATTTACTTGTCCTCAAATTTGTTGAAATTCCTTCCCATTTTCACAAAGAAAAAAAGTGGCCCCATTCATGATTTGTTTCAAATTTCTTTTTATTTTTCAAAATTAACCTGGGAATGTGATGAATACAATTTTGTGTAATCTTTTTTGTAACCAAATCTCCTAAAATCAGCAAAGATGGGCAAAGATGAACTACACTGCATTTATCGTTTTCAGGAAGATGTTTTCCATAGTTAGAGCGTTAGCAATAACATGATAGGGACAAAGTTTACTCCGTAATTGTATACAAATATAAAAATTAGCACTTGGCACGCTCGATGGCAAAAGCATTTACTTTGTGCCGTTTTCACAGAGACAATTTGTCACACGAAGTATAGTGTTTTCATGAAGAAACAAAAGTGCTTCTTTACAACATAAACACATTTTTATTGATTTCTATAAATACTATTTTGTAGTCATCTGTCATTTCAGATCTTCCTTCCATTAAGTAACATTGGTTAAGTGAAAGGAAAACTATGTACCGGGGAAACGGTGATTGGAAAAGATACAAACTTTAAATGCGATTTTCTCAAAACTTAGGTGTCCCTCTCTGGCAAGATTTTTGTCTCTTCATGCAAACGTTGACAAATTTAGGGATTGGACCAAAACCTTACACCAAACCTAACCCTGAAAATTTATTGTGTGAGGTTAATGAAAAAACACTGATACATGATATATTGACGAAAACCTCCATCTGCAGTTTCTGAATCAATGAAAATCTCATCCGAAATGTACCTAATCTTTCCCTATCTTATAGTTACACCTTTTGCTTTTGTCCTCTTAGAAAGTGGCAAGGTGTGCCTTCATAACACCTCGAAATTTATTCTCCGATAATTTTGTCCGGAACTGGAAACTACTTTTACGACAAGAACGTCAAGTTACGCCTGGTGGGCTTGTGTGGCGCATTTGTGGCACAGATTCTACAAAACTAAAGCACGTATGTATTTTGGACTGCATCTTTTTTAACGACTGTTTATTACTAAAGAAAACATGAATAACGCTTACACTTTGATTGTATTCGAGAGAATTTAAAAACACGGGTGATGGGGGAGGAGGGAACACGACTTGAAGCTTTTTTGGTCGATGCAGTTATCTGCAACCTTTCAGGTAAGCGTCCATCAATCCTCGACGAGACGCAGTTATATGAAAACATTTTATCACGTATGAACGTAATGTGAACGCATATGAGTTTTAAACTGCTGCAATCATCTAAATGCAGTTTACACATCGAATTATTTTCGAAGGTTTAGGAGCTCGAATGAAATCAAAACCGTCTATTTTTTGCCGACATTCCCGTTTAAAAATGCTCTGTGCTTCGGCTGGTACAAAACGTGCACGGCAAGGACCATGTTACTTAACCATTGAGACTGTGCTGTACATGTATTAGGATCTGGCTTTAGCTTCAAAATGACGTGCACATGCGTATTTGTTGCAGCACCATGAACGCAGGTGGGCTAAAACTCGCAGTTTCAACCTACTGCGTCTTGCATTCAATCGTGTGTTGACTGTCTTGTACCCTTTCACGGTGGCGTGATCGTTAAGGTTTGGTTACCCAAACATTTTCCACATGAGTATTTTATTACAAGTTTACAATTAATAGAGATGTTGTGTACGTCTTACCAACTGCCAGCAGGGAGGTGCATAGAAGGATACACAGTCTCATCGTTTCCAGCCCTCCATAAGCCACAAAGAGGAAGAGTGTGATCTAAACACCAACACGCTTCTCCGGGGGGCGTGTAAAGCTCGTCCCGAACGTAGACCAAGGCGATATGACTGGTGAATCAAACCTCGTTCCTATTGAAAAACCTTAGTTATTGTAAATAGTTGATAGCAAGGAGCTCAAAATCCACCGGACTCCTGTCCCCAATAATTGCCAGGTTTTGGGATCTATAATGACCCAAAACAGAAATTAATGTGTTTATTTACGCTATCGCGTATTTGCACATCAGAGATGACAGAAGGGTCGGAAGATCTATCTGCCGAGAGTTTCTTAATGGTAGGTTTTTAAAATGAATTGCTCTCATTTGCTCTGGAAGAGTTAAGCAAACAGCTCTACTGGAAATATATGGAATTTTTTTTAATATCATTCGTGAACATGTAAATAGTGACAGGGAGTAGGCTACTTGCTAATTTTTCTGTTCTTTGTTTACTGTGTGTACAAAGAAAAAGGAGACAACAAAAAACGAGCACGGGACGCAAAGATGTGTGAAAAAATGGAAAAGAACCTCTTAAGGTTTACCAAGTACAAGTATCGTATGACCCACCATGTGCTGGCCTGACATCGGTAATTATTCAAGACTGAGACAGCGCTAGTAATGTAGAAGTTTCGCTAATTTCTAGTTTGCAAAGAATATTGAAACTAAGGCTAGTATACAGGACGTGCATATTTTATGGTGAAGCAAACCACTTTATGCGTTGGCAACAAATAAAGCAGACAAAGAACAAAGCTCTCAAACCAGCTCTCTAAAAAAAATAACAGGGACATATTGACGAGGTAGACTGGCTCCTTATCAGCACTGAGCTGAAGGGGTGTAGGAGCTGAAAACTGTGATGACGACTACAACGGAAATACGGATGTATTTCAGATACTGGATTCTGGATTCTGTTTTTGGATTGATTGGTCCATGTTTTCAAATTCGTGGATGCATTACATACTGAACGAGAAGTCCTCTTCCTTTGATCAATTTCATTCACAGGTCCGAAATGTCAGATGACCAGTGGTCAAGACTACTTCTACCCATGATTTAGCTGTTCTTAATTTGCTACAGAAAAGGAACAAAGTAAGGTCATTGATGTATACAACGATCCTTTGTGTATGGGTTTTGAAAAATATATAATCTGGAAAATGTAACTTCACTTATGGTCATTCCCTTAGCATTCAAAGACCCCCAAAATGTACCAAGTCTTGGGCTTATGTGGCGCATTTGTGGCACAGGTTTTACAAATCAAAAGCACATATATTGCTGGGACTGCATCTTTCTTTAACAGCCGTTCATTACTAAGGAAAAATACCCTAAGGCAGGTGTTTTAAAGATATATTTAGGAAAATGTAATTTTACTTATCGTCCTTCTCTAAGCATTCAAAGACCCCCGAATTTAGCCTCACTCCTCAGAAAACCCAAAAAAAGTTAATAAAAGAAATTATATTTTTAGGGCCCAATCAAACAATTAAATTGATAAACCATAAATAAAACCCTCCTTGAACTTGTTTCTGGTTCTGGCACTGACAACGACGAAGGTCTTAAGTATCTTTGCTTTGAGGCGAATGGTGGCGGCTTGGAACTTTTTTGGAAACAATTGTCCATTTCTTTTTCTTGCAAAGGGAAGGAAGGTGCCAGTACCGTTCCTGAACTTTTAACGCAAATTCTCCTCCTTTCCCTCCGTTAAATATGCTTCTGTTCGCTTGGGACTAGAGTCTCTATAGGCATGTGTCTGCCGAAAATTAATTTGATCCTCCAATGAATAATCACTAAGGGCGTGTCTAATCAGCCAAAAGCCTTAGGAGCGGCCTGCCACGGTGCATTCAGCGCCTGTAGCCATTTGATTCCACAACGGTGAGCGTTATTTACAGCTGCAGATAAGTCCATGTTATTGTTAAAACTATCCAATAAAAGATGCAGGTGAAGTCTCTGTGTAGGTAAAGGATCGTTACGATATGTATATACATGAAGGTGATGAACTTTACTACCAGCAGCCTCTGTAAGCTCAGACAAGCTAGAATGCGATACAAAAGAAACGTTTTGCCAGTACCAATTTGTCTTCTGCAGATCCTTTGTGCTTGGGTAAATCCAAGAGTGCCATTCAAACATTCTTATCTCTGGGTCCTGTGAGACGCCGAAGAGGTTCATTCGTCGTCTTTTATTGGTTATTAAAATTTAACTTGAAGGTTCAAAGCTCCTTTTATTAGGACGGAAGGTACTTCAGGGAGTGAGGGCACATTATGCGGCCTCACTATTGAAGAAATCCCGTGTGGAAAGAAGCAAGATGAACTACCAGTTTGTCTTGCTTTTTTGGTCTTTATTGGCAGCAGGTAAGTTGCGTTAACAAACTGTGGGATTTCAAAGAATATTCTTGAAACTATTACTTGGATTGCCCTACCCGTAGACTGTACTTTTGGCATTTTGTGATCGGGTCTTCTCAAAAGCTTTGCACAGAAAATACACTCTAAAAACTTTGTGTCATATTGACCCCGAATTGGGTCCCATTCAGCGTGACCATTTTCAGGGTCAAATTATGAACCAGAAAGGGTCAAACAAGATCCAGAAGGGGGTCCTTTTTGACCAACCAAAGGGTTACGCCGAATTGAACCTAATTCTGGGTCAATCTGACCCGGGAGTTTTGGAGTGTACCTAAAGGCTTCTGCGGGCTGGACCCGAGCTGCACAGATATAAGAACGCTGTACGGTCCAGTTAGCTTTTATCGAAGTTCACCAGCTAAAATGCCTCTTCTTCGCAAGCTGACGACGAAAGCTTCCTTCGAATGTTCTCTGTCTTTGAACGTATAGTTTTACATCAGTCAGTCCATAACAGATGAGACTCACCACACAGGATGTATAGTGACATCATCATGTGAAGTGACAAAAGAAGCACCCCTCAATAATTGTAATCGACTGTTGCTTTTGGTACCAAATGGAAACTTAGAATGTTATTTTTTAAGACTGAACACTTGATGTAAAAACTTGATGTTGCGTTTCGAAAATAACCTATATTATGTAATTCAACAGACTTGCTTCTATTAAAAAACACCCGAATTCAGAAAATTTGGACACTATCAGTTTCGATATGAAGTGTGCGTCAACTTGATAAGGGTCTGGCCGTGCAAATCATTATTAGTTTGGTCAGGTCATTTCTGACCTCGTCGGCCATACCACAGACTGCGTCCACTGCAAAGGAACTCGAGCAACCCTTTCATGCACAGACTGTACTCGCAGAAATAATCAAAGAAATGCAAATTGGGGTTTTTTGTCTTATTTAAGGAACTCGGGATATTTGTAAAAAACCCTTTTCAGTTGACATTTGTTGCTTTGGCTAGCCACTCAAGCTCACTCAGCCCATCCCATCCTAACCCAACCCAAGCCAACATAACGTTAAAAGTTTTTTTTCGGGGGGGGGGCAAACAATAAGGGGAGGGGGAACTTTTCTTCTTCATATTCCTTTAGATTCCTTTAGTAAAAAGTTAGTAAGATCTAGCTCTAATGATCCGTACCTGGCTCAGATGGAAAGACAAAATCAATATCTAACGTGTCACCGTGTGATTATGATCATGCAAGTGTGTCGGGTCTCTTGTTCTTCGAATTGTGTTGACACAAAACTCGACTTTGTTCCAAGATGTAAAGTTACTTTGTGTCTGGCGGGAGATCAGCTCTGAACACGATCTTACGTAAATGCAAAAGAGGTCACGTCTTAATTCTGTCTGATATGAGAACAAAGATTACGTTTGAGGAAAAAAGCACGACCAATCACTTGTGAGGGTTCTATCGTCCGATTTCTTTGTTTATTTATGAGAAACGAGTCCACAAAGTTCTTTCAGCTTAGATGTTTGCTGTATTACAAAAGTATATTACTTATTAACGCCAGTGCTCGGCTAGGGGGAAACACAGTAGACACAACATCACGGTAAAGCAGGCAAATACCTCGAAAGTCACGTACCTGAAAACTTACATCTTTCAGTATCCTCTCCGAGCCAAACAGAAGAGGGTGTTGTTTTTTTTTGGTACCCACTGGATAGGCGCGCCATGAGGCGCGCAAGTATATGCGCGTTTGACACGGAGCACGCTGAGCACGCGCAACATTCCTGCATGTATCCGGTTCGTAAGTGTGACGTCACTTCAGTATAAACCACGCTCACTGCATATGCTCTGCACATAGAGCTACATGCATTACATGGAACCATGGAACCGGAAGTTAACGCGCAACTTCAGTGATCGTCCAATGGGAGCCTGCAAATCGTGGCGTGTCCGCCTTTGTGACGAAGTCACAAACCAGATGGTCTTTGCGTGCACGCAGAACGCGTGCAAGAACCCGCTTGTAACCACCTGTCTTTCTCTTCGCTGATTGGGGGTGCACTTCAGCTCGGGGCGGATAAGACGACAATGGATACTAAATTGTTTGTTTCATAAGTTTCATAAGGTTGTTCCCAGTCGGTATGAAATCTGTAATTTTTGTCTTAATTCACCATTTAAATGCCATGAATGGATCATGACGTGCGCCAGAAGTGACGGGGGATTGTTTGATAGGAAAGACGGGAATCTCCAACTTAAACCTCGTCCCTCTTTTCACTGTTGTCCACTCCACAAGAGAACAAAACATTTTCACTCATACTTTGAGATGAGATCCACTGAGAAGAATTTGATTCATTGTCCGGCGTTGGCTAATTATGTATATCTGGTTGTACAGAAAAGCTTTGCTCCTAGCCTAAGTCGTTAATTGTGTAACTCTTAGGATGGGTATGCAACTATTTTTTTTTCATTCACATACGGTGCATGCACATCAAGTCATACACACACATAGATGTGCAATGGATTGTAGGGCACACACACTGTCTTCATTACCTCATAAGTCCAAAAGGATTTATATTAACCCTCTACCGTGGGTTAAGTTAGCTGTGGAAGTTTGTCAGATTTAAGCTATCAAATGCTATCGAAATAACTGTACGGAGTTGGGGACTTTTTAAACCACTAAGAATTTCACTGTTTCTTCAAATGAAGACCACGTTTACAACTGTACAAATAAGATAATGTCACAAGAGAGGTTTCATCGAGGCCAAACGCATTGTCGTACGTTGTTGACTTACAACAGACGATGCTGTCATCTGCGCCGTGTGATTCACAAATGCAGCTCTGGTAAAATCAGTCACATAAAATACTTTGAAATCTTCTTTTGTCAGAATGATCGCTTCTGTTTGTTTCAGTCATACGATTCATAATGCTGATTCTTCGTAATTGCGATGGTCATAAATATATTTTGACGTCCCCTACTTTTGAACCAACAGTTTCTGTCGATGGTTGCGGAGTTGGCTGGGTGCAACACAACAACCTATGTTATCAAGTAGTAGCCGAGAGGGCTGATTGGCTGACTGCGCGTCAAAATTGCCACACCAAGGGAGGTGATCTCGTTGTCATACCCAACCAAGAAACAGCGGTAATATTTGAAAGCTATCAACGACAACGTGCAGTTTTTGTTTTCAAAAAAATGAAGAACTACAATGGCTGAAAATAATTATGTTTTTGGCTCCACATATCTAGGACCAACCAAAGGCTGATGGGAGTTTAACAAACGAATCCTGCCTAAAAAGTTGTTATTATTTACTTATTGTCTTCGCTCTTTTTGTTTATTTCGGCTTTTATGCTGAAAAAAAAAACGATTCTGGATCTCTTGACCCCTTTTATAGAGCTTCTTAAATGAAACGCTGGCCGGAGTTCAAGGTTCCCATTGGATAGGCCTGCATACCCGCAGCACATCCCCGGATTTTGTATGGGTGGACGACTTGACAAATGTAACCGAGTTTTCGTGAGTAATCCCAATCAGGAATTTTATCAATACTTTTGAAATATTTTCATAAAACATTCCAGTGGATTACAGTAGTGTGAATGTTATCCTAGCTTCATCCCCTTCCATTTCCCTAAACCTTGCCCAACCCTAAACCATCCTCGAACCTCCCCTTAAAGCTAAAATGATCTTAAGTAATGTCCAGAAAGTAGCCGGAAAACGATTCAAATTAAAGCATCAAAGCAGTAAAATACCAGCCAAATTCCTGGAAAGGAATTCCAAAATCGTCTTGATTTTCTATTCAAAGTAGATTCCAAGTTGCCTGAATGTATGATCGATTTCAAACGGGCAGAGAAATGTACATGAAATTCTCCCCAAAGAGAAGAACCGACGAGGCTAAAAGCAGACTGCGTTTTAGGATCTTTGAATTTAACAAGAAGTTACCACACCAATTTATACATTGAAAATATAATAAAATTGCCCCATCCATGTCTGTACCCTTCGGTGTGTTTTCCAAGGGGATGTCACCGATATGTTTTGTTCTTTGAAAATCTTAAAATAGGTTTTCAATGGTCAAACATGCATTCTGGTGTACATGCAAGTGCGGGTGCCTATAGTAAAAACGCACGAGCACAGAGCAAATCAATTGGGCAATGCCATAAATTAGCGTCCCTTCTACTATAATAACTGCTATCTACTGTGCATGGTAATTAATCTAAACATCACACAACGTTTGTTTATGGTATAACTTTCGCACAAGGACAACGACAGCATGTATTTGTCATAATACCGAGTCAGGAACCTAGCAAATTGTACGAAGGTCGGTGGTCGTAAGGATATTGTAGTGATAAGACTTTAAAACGGAGGAGGTTTTTTTTTAAATATATGTCTTAGACCGTTTTCTAATACTCAACTTCGTCTCCGTCGTAGGCTTCGTTCCCAAAACCAATCCCCGATTGTGGGCCTGACGCGTTAAAATTACGTTGGATTACTGAAATTTGTGGCTTTCTTTCATCTTGTTTGATGTTCTGTGGCACTATTAGACTGGTTACTGCGCTTACAGCTTCAAAGTCAGCTAGTAAAAAAACAGTTGAAGCCTGAGACGGAGCCGAATTGAGTATTTGAAAACGGCCTTATTTTCATGACATCATAGGTTCATCAAGGAAATATGTGTCGACCTACCGACGCCCTCATTCCATCCTTTCACTTCCTCTATAAATTAATGGCCTCTGACTTGTATGTGAAAAATTTATTGTTGGTAATGTGTCACCCTACAGCAACTGGGCTCCCGCTCAACCGAACTATTCGTCTTTTTCAAGTGAAGAATGCGTATACATTTCAAGCGGTTCTGGTCTGTGGTACTCTGCCAGTTGTGATTGGTTGTCTTATCCTTACATCTGTCAACGCGAGATGGGTAAGTCACTCTGTTGGCACACTGATACCGTCACGCCTTGAACCCTTAGCCCAAACCCTCCGTCATGAAATCCAAATACGGTTTAGTTGAAATGTGTTTAACTTTTTCGAATTTGCAGCGCGAACATTTCCTTCGTGATCTAACAAGACAAAGAGACCGTACGCGTTCACTTTTGATCGTGCTCATCAACCCACTTGCTTTTCATGGCGCGCAGACTAGCATTCCCTTCGGATCTGTTTACTCCATCGCAGGTATTCTACCAAAGTGTGACGTTGGCAACGGCTGGCAAAGTCACAATGGCAAGTGCTACAAGGTGTTAAATGAACTGCTTAAGTGGCAGAGCGCAGAAGAGTCTTGTGCCTCTTATCCAGGCGGTCATCTTGCCTCGGCTACTAGCCACGATGATGTGATGTTTATTACCAACATGTGGGTCACATCCGGCTCATCATTGTGGATTGGACTCTCAGATAAGGTCAGTCAATCACTGAATATTACGTTCAAATTGAATTTGGCCTTGTTGAGGAGTGCGATATATGCGTCTTAGGTAACGTATCCGACCCGAGCAGAAGCACCCCTTCATCGGTTGAAAAGAGTCATGTTTGTGGTGAGGGTTCATTTTTGGTAGCGTACCAGTGCAGTTCTCACCTAAGGAGCCTCCATTGTTGGGAAAATTGCGCCCTCTCTTGGTCCCGCTCGGGATTCAAAGGAAGAACCCAGCGGAGAAACCAGCTCAACAACCGGCTGCTTTACATGGAATTGATATCCCATAGCCATACTCTTCTAGAAGGGGCAGAGGGGGGAAAGAATTTTCACAGGAGGAGCAGTTGCCATCCTTGCTCCCTTTGGCAACGCATAATGAACGGCTTTTTGAAAAACCTATTTTAAATAGGTACGTCTACACTCAAATGACGCATATCAAAACAACAACCCCCAACCCCCATTTTTCATGGGGGGGGGGACAAATGTTCCTACACAGGGCAGTTGCCCCCCACCCCGGCATCCCCTTGGCTACGCCCCTGACAATATCTCTATGGAAATTTAAATAAAAAGTCAGACACATGGATATTCAACATGACCAAGGTGTAGAGTTACTGTGTCGGCTATGCACAAATAAGGGCGCACCTATAAGCAATCTTCTAAATATTGGCCTGGGCTCCACTGCTGCCTCCCAAGTCTGGATTAATTCATTCCGGAGCTTAATGAGATTTTCCATTTCGGATCAAGCAATATTTTACATCCCATAAAAGGAGCTGACGTTTCTGTCACCGAAAAGTTAATTCAAGAGGAGCTCAGTGAAATCACGAAATTGAAGCCGGAGACAGGAGCAAAAGATGAACCAAAGGTTTCGGAAAATTGCATTCTAGACACTCATGGAGCAGAAGAGGCGGAGTGACTTTACGCTTTGTAGGAAGTCTGATGTCAGTCCTACTAAGGACCAGATTTAATATTATTATTGTTCCCTATGTAAGCCCTTGGTTTTATAGGTACAAGTATAAATCCCATCTTCCTGTTTATCATTGAAGCCTCGCTTTTCGTGAATATGCTGAAATCTTCGAGCCATGAACAGGCTAGTTTATTTTCCCCAAGTGGAAAATTTAGATGTAAACTGTTCTTCTGTTTGTGTGTGAATGTAACTATTAGTAGACACTACATTTTTCTACCGCCACAGAGCGTTTTGTTTCCACAGCCCTCGCCCAACTTTCAAATCTCAGGTTTTTTTTTCAATAAACGACCTTCTTTTTTTCTGTCCTACAGAATCGCACTGTCGCGGGGGACTACGTGTGGTCGGATGGTTCCACGTACACTGACGCGTACACCAACTGGGAGAACAGTCAACCAAACAATGAGTAATCATTAGCGTCTAATGGCCCACAGAAGAGCTAAAACGCTACGATGCGAGTTGAGTTGGGAAAAACGGCCAAATGCCGTTCTTCTAGGCGGCGATATGTTTTATTATACAATATTCTGGTATACAACAGATGTACTTTCTTATGGGAAAATGGTTTCATTACCAGTCTTGTGAGGAGACTAATCGTCTCGTCTCGTGGAAACTTACCCTGCATAGATGTTTGACTTAACATCCCTTAGAAAAATTCCCCGAGAGCCACAGTTATATAGCCTTTATTCAAGTCTGGTTTCCCCGTGGTCTTGTGTAAAAAATTCGCTTCTTAGTCAACAACTATAAGCACTTTTTCTTGCGCTGGTGAGGTACACCTAGAAGAGCGGGTTGATTATTTTGGAGTCACGCATAGATAACGTTTAATGAAAATTTCTAGGGAGCAGTTCATAGAGAATCGGCCACCATTACGCCAGCACTTGTGTGAAATTTTAAGCCTACTAGAGTTCAAAAAGTATTCATTTGACGTTTCTTGTATTGAACTGAGGTTTCAGTTTGGCTGAAATTACTGGATGGTTTGAGAGTCTATATCAGACATGAATTGACCGATGAATAATTTCATGAATTGTATAATTTTTTATGTGAATAGTTCATTCACATTTTCAAGATTTACGGTCGAAGAGATTTGCACGAGGAATCGTGGCACTTTTATAAATGCTGGGAATGAAATCTGATAATTGTTTCTCATTGATCGATTCCGTTGATTTTTTAAAAAATGCTAATTTCAGTTACTTCGGCGATGGTGGTGACTGTGCGGAAGTCGGAGAAGAAGGCGAATGGCGTATACGAGGATGCGCCACAAATTACAGATACCCATTGTGTGCTATATCGGAAGGTTGATAGTGTGTTTGCTTATTGGACTGTCTTTTAATCTTAAGAATTTCACCCAGTTTAAATTGATTGTGAAAGAAATACATAAAAGGACACCTCACCTTTCCAATAATTATTTGATTAGTGCTACTTTCCGCTTTTTTACAGGCACCTGTGCACAAGGATGGCATATCGTAAATGGGCACTGCTATCAAGTAAATTCTTACGCACGTAAGACGTGGACGGATGCTAAACGTCACTGCGAGGCGCAGGATGGATACCTTGTGACTGTTCAGGGGTAGGTACTGTGTAGGGAAGAAGTATGGGTTTGGGCTGTAGCAAGTAATTACTTATTCATACACGGATCCTGAATAATTCAGTTCCAATTTCTTCAGTGTACTTGCTCCTACAGATATGTATGGGGTCCTTTGGATATCGTTTGGCCAAGAGTTGGGTTCTTAGAAAACCTCATCAGTAGAACTATTGTATTAACTTGCCTTTTGTAACCATCGTCCGATTAACTTAGAACTATTAGTTATAATTCTAATTGGCTTTTGTAAATGCGAAGGGGATGTATTCAACGCTAAAAGAGCATGCACAGGTCTTCTTGCTCTCCACCATGCGCTTTGAGACATTGATACCCACCAACACAGCTGTCGCACAATCACTGATTTGGTGCTCTTTACATCTAACTCTGCCATGTAACTACATTATTCACATCGGGTTAATGTTTCTCGTCATGGTCTCTTTGATGTTCAACTCCTCTTCACGAGGGTAAACCTGACCACTCTAGGTCTCAATACGGAGCCACCTCCGGACGGTATCTTTTTCTATGCAAATTTTACTTGTTAAAATCTCTGGCAAACTACAGCCAGGCTGAGTGTTTTGACATAACATGAGCTTAAGAATCCATTATTGCATACTCTTGCGCAGCTATTGCGGCAATGGTTTCAACAAGGAACAGGGACAGGTACGAGGGGCGGACATTTCGATGCATTAACCAGCGTTGTGTGAAATCATTACTACAGCCTCTATTTTCCTGTTTCGTTGCGACCCGTCGTTCATTGGTTCCAAGTGCTTCCTTCGATCCTTTCAACCGTTGAGGAGTATGAGCACTGGTCACAACTTTCTTCATTCCATCTACCAATTCTGGAATATGGCAATAACGATCGTGTAGCTGTTTCCTTCAACTGTTCAGTCTAACTGTGATGACTAAGAATCCCACTCACTTGATCTGTAGTACTCACCAGTTTTGTATTAACTGCTACGAAGGAAAAAAATGTCTCTGTTGATTTTACTGTTTTATCTTCGAATTTGAAACGGTTTTTCCGGACCTTTGTTTCATTTCTGTGTTTGATATCGGGCTCATGTTCAAATTTGTGAAACCGAAGCCGAATATCAAAGACAGAAATGAAACTCAAAGTAAAGACCCTTCATCTTTACACAGCTCCATTTTCCGCTGGAGAAGTACCGGTATCAAGTTACCTAACGTAAATAAAGCAAACGTTTTGAACTATGTTTGGTTGACTATCTCGACAAAGCCAAGATTAAGTAACGGTCCTAGAAAACCAGTGACACCGACTTAAATTCAAATGACACTTTTTGTTTTCTCTGAGATAAATGTGTAAAATATATTCTCAGGTCTTTCGAAACAACACTGATTCAAGGCTTCCTACCAGATCTGACAGATTTGGGTGTCAAAACGCTCTTCATCGGCATATCAGGTCAGTCGGCCCATTTTGCTGGCATACAGCCAATAAAATGCGACAATTAAATGAAATCGAGAACTACATCATTGCAATTTAGGGAAACCGTGAAGGACAATGATGCTTATTTATTCATTAGATGACATCGATGCACGGTTTAATCAAACAAAGCACCGCGAATGGTGCCACAACAAAATGAAGATGGTCCGAAGGTTATTACCTCAGTTTGGGTTGTGGTAACCTCCAGTCGTAGAGAGCCTGCTTCCGAGACCACAATCACTCCGTCGAAAAAGGTCAACTTTAACCCATCAGCTTCCAGCTCTTCATTAAATCCTCATCAGGCTTTGCTATATCTACATTCAGTTTTCTGACCCAGTTTTGCTACTCACAATGAATGCTGACAGGTTTCCAAAATAATAAAAATGTCATGGAATTTTCTTCTTGCCGGAAAACTTATATGCTAATACCAACCATTGGCTCGTCTTTGGCCTTACAATTGGGGTCAGCCATCACTCTCAACATATAGAAGACTTACCCAGTAAATTTCCCGTTCTTCTATTCTATAAAGTCATCTGTGGTTTGTTGCTAACAAACTGCTTGTTTACTGCTTTGACGAGCAGACCAGAAGGAGGACGGTGTGTTTAGGTGGGTGGATGATGCCCCAACAACATACGACATCTGGGCACCGTCTCAGCCGATGAACACAAATCACACGGACTGTGGCTATATCTTTACTGGTTTGTTTCACCCATATTCTTTGGCATATCTGTGCAATTCACGTGTGTTTCAAGTCTGTTAAGGAAAAAAAATTCCAAAATTGCTGAAAAGCCAGTTTAAAAGAAAAGTTTTAATTTTTTATATTTTTGTTCAAATATTTACCGTAGGCAATTTGGCTGCGGAGTGGATGACTGGTGATTGTTTTGAACTCGGTGCTTACATCTGTGAAATATCTGCAGGTAATGTAATAATTCAATCCTCTTTCTGTCCAAAAACCTATTATAGATTTAAAGAATTTTGATTCGCCAAACAGTAACAATTTGGTCGTGTATTTGCTAAAAATGGAATGTTTGTTCTTATTTATTTACAGGTGTTCCCGTAAACCCTGTGCCACCTGAAATGGGTGAGTTATGTGTGCAACGTAAAAGGAAAATACTCCTACATTACAACGTTTTGTTTGACTTTATGAAAAGATCCAATCAAAATTGAACGTTAACGTTGCCGTAATAAAAACATGCAGATCCTCTTCAGTGGTCGAAATTAACTTTTTTTTCTAGTAGCCAGCAGGACCAGTAGGCCCCTACTTCAAAATTTTCACTGGTCCTGCTGAAAGTTTGGTGGTCCCATACCAGAACCGCACACGCAGCCGTTTGAGCAATCCTTGTTAGGGCGCAGGCCGCGACAACTTGTTTGTTTTTTAGTTTGCCCGATAAAGCAGGCCTTGCCATAAATTTTCCTGCCCGAATAGGATCAACACTTGCCCAAGATTTCTCGGAATCCACCATTATTATGGTTATTAAACTTAGGCTTACTGCAATACAAGCAAGTCTTTTATTAGGCTCCAAAACAGCTGTGCTTTGCCTCTCTAAAATAGTATAGGTTGGAAATGTTTTCTGTTTGGGGGACAATTTTTTGTGCTGATTGAATGGCATCAATGGGGACGACAGCTTCCATAATTATTTCAAAAAGTGATTTACACCTGTCTTAATCTATGTAAAAATTTGTACATTCGGCAATTAAAAAAAATTACAGACAATTCACACAGTGCTACTCAGGCGATCGCGACAGCAAACTGGCCAACAATGTCTGCGTATCGCGTGGTATAAAGCGTGCGGGATGCATCCGGACCAGCGGGTGATAATCCTTGAGCCGGACCACGAGCAGAACGACCTTAAATTAAACTCGTGAACGCAGAAAATACATACATAAATAAGAGAACAAGTTCTGTGAATTAACTTGCAGAAAACCTCTTTCAACATCGATGTCTTTTCAACCTGCAGCCTTAGGGTTGCATCCGTGACGTGTACGGACGATGTAGAGGGGACTTGTACAGCACAGACTGGTTCTGGTTCCTACAGTTCCATCACACAATCTTTTGCATGGGCGCGGCGCGGCGGGAACTAGAGCAGCTTCTTTTAATGCATTGAGCTTTCGCATATGTTTTAACGCCACTGCGATAGCGAAACGTGAATGGAAATTCGTGAAAAGCACGTATTTTTTTTCTTAAAACAAGCTTTTAACGTGAGAAAGGGTTATTGAAAGATATTGGTAAAGACAGAAAAGATATCAGATTTCAACAGGCCACTGGACCATCAGTTTCATTAGATCAGCTGGTCCACCGACTTTTTTTTACTGCCTTCGGGCCAGCGGACCACCGTTAATTTCGACCCCTGCTCTTAAAGCTCCATTCTTTTTTTCTCTTTATTCTCAGAAACGGGCAAGTGCGAGCCTGGATGGGCTCTTCATGGTAACTTTTGCTACGAGTTTAGCCTTGAAAAACAGACTTGGGCAGATGCCAATACTTCCTGCGTGAACTTGGGAAGTCAGCTGGCCAGCATACACGGTGACAGAGAGCAATCGTTTTTTTCAAGTGAGAATCCCCATTATTAACTATTACACACTAGCGATCGAGTTTGTGTGGCGTTGGTTTCATCTCAGGTAATGCAAATATAGTCTTAAAGGGCCAAAGATCATTACCGGTTCATCCAATTTGTTTCAGCTCGTCTGGACGTCATTCAAGAAGATGTCTGGATTGGTCTTCATGACAAAATTGTTGAAGGAAACTTTTATTGGACAGATGGAACTGCAGTAAGTATTTAACCATTCTAGCATCACAATTCACTTTCACTTTGTTCATCTTTGAATCCTATCTACCACTTGCCGCACACGACCGCATGTATTGACGTCGGTATGGGCGTCTAAAAATTCAAGTCTTGTCTCCGGTTTCAATTTTATCAAGATTTCAAAATACATTTTTGCATTATACTAGGCCTATACAGACACAGATATAGATATCTCGTTTAAACGAGATACTAAGTGTTTAAACGAGTCACGAAGTCGTTTAAACGAGATACTAAGTTGTTTAAATGAGATAACTGTGTCGTTTAAACGGGATAACTTTGTCGTATAAACGAGATAATAAGTCGTTGAAACTAGATGAAATAATTTTTCGCGTTGGCAGCAATACACTTCCGGACTCATCCGGTTTGAGCCAATCATAGAGGATTTGTTGTGTGAGAGACAGCATTTCGTTGCCTTAGTTTAGCATGCAGCTACGGCATTGTACGTGGCTTCTGACTTTGTGCATGTTTTCTCTCTTTGACGACAGTACGATTACCAGAACTGGAGGACTGAACCTGAAAGTATTTACAACGACTGCGTGAGACTTAGGGGAGAGCGATATCTTGGGATGTGGGAGCCAACAAACTGTTGGAGGTCTTACAGATACGTTTGCAAGAAGAAGAAAGGTAAGAAATATTGGAAAAACCAGTGCAAGGTGGCCATCATCGTGGTTTGTATAGTAATTTACCTTTTAAGCGGCTATTCAGGCCAACAATTTGAGGGGGAGAACGATTCTGAAATATGTAACAAGTAACAATCTGAGAGATTTGTGAAAATCAGCGATCAACGGGATTTCTCTGAGCTTTCGCCGCAGAATTCTGCTAACAACATGCTACTGATTGTCGCAAGATTGTTTCGTTTTTTGCTGGTTATACAGCTTGCACTTTTTCATTTTTTTTTCATCACACAGTCGATGATGGTACTGTCCATACACCTTCGCCTCCACCAACGTGTAAGTAATAAACAGACACTGGAGAAAACATAATTACCCTTTAATGAATGAAAGGCTTGATGCAAATCTGGAAGTTTTCAATATTTTGTAATAGATTTGTAGGCCTTCTTACAACAGAGCATTTTTAAGCAATTCATTCAACCCAATTATGACATGGACTCGTTTTCCTTCTTCCATTTGGCTACTGAACTGAACCGATCTTTTTCATCAATATCTGTACCACTCCCGGTAATAAATAGACAGACTCACTTTATTTATATCAGCTGACTATGAGTTACGTTGCGGTATGGGCTGGGAGTACGATGCATCTACTAACACATGCTATGTCTTTCGGCCGCATCTCTTCGAAAACTGGCATGACGCCCTCTATCAATGCCGGGTTGAAGGCGGGGATCTCATCAGCGTCACGGGACCGGAGGACCAACAATTTATAAGGGGTGAGAAAGTAGTGCCGTGGGTGACAGTGAGGCTGACATCATGAAAATACTCACCTGAAGGAGCACGTCCGCAATGGTTTTCAGGCTGTCTTTCATCACCCATTGTCACTGTTGAAGCAGAGGCGTAAATCTGTGACAGGGAGTGGCGGGGGGATGGGAGATTTCTCTAACCCCCCAAAATGTGTCGTCTCTTGAAATTCAAAAAGCGGAATACAGACACACACACTTTGATACAATTTACGAACTTATGCAAGCTCGAACGTTGAACTAAAAGTGTACATATAAAGCTTTGGTACCGTTTGTTCTCAGATTTTCGGTAAAATTTATTACATGTTTTTTCATGTTGGAAAGCTCTCAAATAACCTCAGAATTCATTAAAAAAAAGTCCCCCCCAAAAGGTGGCGTTCAAATGGTTCATCCCATTACCAAATGCCAGGGGATCCGTCCTCCTTGGAACCCCAGAATTCATTTCCATGGTCGACAACATACTTATGCACTGAGTCCTTTGAGAGATTCAGTTTCACATTTACATTCTGCAAAGCCTCCAGGGACTAACGGAATGTTCCATAAAATTGCACCTTTAAATTGCAAATATTTTAAAGGCAGTTATTTCTTTTTTAAGACCATATGCCTGGACAATTTTACACCCCTTAACTGCGTCAAGTTAAGGTGAAAGTATACGTTGCTGTGGTAATGGGACCTGTATCCCCAAAATAGTTGAGCGTGTGCATTATAAAGCTTACATGAATTTAACTCAGCAACAAGACTCACATTTTACATCTTGTTTTCATCGTCACATTTTCGAAACTCGCAATTTGCAGGTCATTTGCATAATTCTGGCCAAATCTACACCTGGATGGGTTGCAATGATCTTGGGAGAGAGGGCGGCTGGGAGTGGAGCGATAACTCCCCGTTTGCCTTCATCAACTGGAATGCAGGTGAAACAACTGCCTTAGTGTTTAAAAGCAACCTTCTTCACTGCTAGTAAAATATCTCGGTGATTTGAATGCGGGCAGACAGGCCTACACCTTTAGGTTTAAAACTCAAGTCGACTACAGCTCTCTTACCAAACATTACCAGCCACTGGGTTCCAGCTGCCAAATTGAAGAAAAAGCTTAAGAATTACGTGCCTGTAAATGCACATTTTTAGCTGCCACTTACCTTTTAGATTGTTGTTTGAAATGAAATATTTTTCACCAGTTGCTCATAATTACATGTGTTGTCCAAATAGTTATAGTTTTCACAATTTGATAACAATGGTGACTGACAGAAAGAACCCTAACAGTTTTGATTATAAATGCTACTTACAGGCCTTTCTTATTTTGCAGCTCAAAATGCCATTTGCTTGGATGATTTGGGACCTAAATGAACAGATGGACTTGAACCCTTTGTGCAGGTGCCATTCCCACGTACCTTTGAAGTCTTTCTTTGTAACAGGTCAGCCAGATAACGGGGGTGGAGCCTCGCCTCTCGGCCACCACTGCTGTAGCTTCTTCAGTAATTCTGGTACCTGGGTCGACCACCAATGCGAACAGGAGCAAGGATACAGCTGCAAGCGAAAAGGCAAGTCACAGAACAGACTCTCAGAGGAATATCAAAATACACGTCATAGCATATATGCCTCGAGCAGAAACACCCCGTTATCGATTGAAAAGAGCCATGTTGGCCAGGAGTTCTCAATTTGTTGGTAGCGATGTAAATGTAACGCATGCATTTCATAGGGGTGAACGGGTTAGCGTAGCGGTTCTTTCCTCGCTTTGCACCATTGAGGCCCAGGTTCGAGTCCCGGCTTGGCCCAGGCATTAAGTACATTTGGGCCGTTTTCAAATACTCAATTGTCTCCGTCTCAGGCTTCGTTATCAAAACCAATCCCCAATTGTGGGCCTGAAGCGTTTAAATTACATTGGATTACTGTAATTTTTGGCTTTCTTGCATCTTATTTGATGTTCTGTGGCACTGTTAGACTGATTACTGCGCTTACAGCTTCGAAGTCAGCTAGTAAAAAAAAGGTTGAAGCCTGAGACGGAGCCAAGTTGAGTATTGGAAAACGGCCTTGGTTTCGAGTCCTTACTTGCTCTCGTAGGCTTTCTCCTGGTGTTCCGGTTTCCTCGTGCATTAAAACTGGACCCTACTCCAAATTGTGTATGCTGATCAATAAAATGTATGATTATCAATAATAAGTTGGTGTGATGTTTCCTGATGGAGGCTTTGCTGATTTAGATTCATAGTTATTCGTAAACTAGCGAGGGGCAGTGACCAAGGAAGCCTTAGACTGGTTCCCATTCCGTATGTAGTCTCTAGACGTCTTACAGAACGTAGGGGCCGATAGCGGGTAAGGAAACTGGCAGAATCCTGCCAGTTTTATGTAAATGAGAAAACGACGCCCGCTCAGTGAATAAATCAAGCAGGAGCTGATAGAACATTGTGCTTTTTCTTCCTTGCTACGAAAAATAACTTCACCGTAAATTGTTCATTTATTTAAACTTTAACACAACTACTGATTTGAAACAAATTCTGATTAAAATAAATCATTAAAATGATTTATCGATGATTATTATTGAAAAACAAATTACTACACTATGATCAACAGAGGCTTGGCAAGGATAGGTACTTGTGTTTTATTCACGTGTAAACGTGATTCATGTTAAAGCATTGTTATTGCCCTGACAAAAACAAATATTCAGCATCTAAATAGACAGGGCTAATTGCACACGTTAAACTGCAGCTTGCTACCGGTCCCTATATGGGGACGGGGACATCATCCAAAATAGCCTCCGTTGGTGAGAAAATTGCGCCTCTCTTGGTCCAGGTCAAGGCTCATGGACTTTAATGAAGTACGCTGTATGTGCTGTCCGAGGTACATTTGAGTGGGAATGTGTAAACATTTCTATCCACAGCTTATATCTTGAAATACTACAGTACATCAACCCAGCGGAAGCTACCCGATCACAGTGACCTGACTAAGTTCTGGTATAACGTCTGGCCAAAGGACTGTGCCCATATCTGTCTGCACGTGACAACGTGTCTTTCCTTCGATTACCGGCGTGAGCACCGGAGCTGCTACCTGAGCTCCCTCGATGCTGTCTCGGCGGGAGGACTCGTTACCACTGAACCTGGGGATCACTATGACTATTACGAAAGGGGTGGGTGCATTTAATCAAAGTTCCCGGATATATAAAGATAGATCAGGAAAACCTTCTTCTCTCGGTTAAAAAATAAGCTAATTTGCTAAATTAAAAACACATTAATGTTAATTAATGTTGTTAATGTTGTTCACCATCCCATAACCATCCGCCACGGGTATATCCTTGTTACATCCCAAAGACAAAAGATGTTAACAAAAAAAAAAGAGATGTAATCTCTTTTGAGGACGCTAATAGAACATGTATTTGCATATCCTAACAACAGAATTAGAAGCGGAACAATCATTTACCCATAACCAGAACAAACCTTATTGGATCTTTTTAAAACATGGAACATTGAATGTTCATTAAAGTCTCTTTTAAAAAAGTCCTAGTTTGCCATGAAATACAACCCCGTAGCCCTACAACAAAGAGTCGCATCTCTCTCCTTTTTCAAATTTTCCCAGATTTGACGGTGCCATCCCCAACCAGACCTCCCCCGCTGCCCAGCGAATACAACTGTCCGCCCGACTGGGGTCGCTACGATGGTCACTGCTATTCCCTGAACACCACCAAGATGGACCTATTGACAGCTGAGTCCTCTTGTCGCAGCGTAGGGGCGGAGTTAGCTACCATCGAGGACAGGAACACCAACAACTTCATACGAGGATATATGCACGAGGGTAATAAGTGTCCATTTTGGTAGACTTCCATTTTTGTCGATAGAAATCAGGCGATCTCGAAATCCCTTTGCATCCTCAGACACAAGACAGCTGTCATTTTCAGAATGTCGTCAATGTTTCCTGGACGCACTTGTGTCTTTATTGTTAAAAAATGATTCTGTTATCTGCTCAATAGCAGTTTTATAAATTTCACAGTCATCATGCAACTTCCCTGGTGAACGACCCTTTTTGCCTAGCGTGAATAAATTAATTGGTTACAAATGAGGTGTTGTTTTTAGTGACAAAACTACAGTATTGACCAACATTTTTAGGGGCACCTGCCACTCTGTCTGTCAACTCTTGCCTCCCCTTCTTGTCCCTTCCCAAGAGAAATTAGGAATTTTTGGAAGGCGGGAGCTGGCGCAACACGATTTGTAGTGTGTTGATTTGTGTTACTTTGGTGTTGACATATTTAAGAAGGTTTTCGAAGGAGCTATCCATTGTAAAACTCAGTGGCATAGCCAAAGGGGAGGGGGACTGTCCCCTGTTTTCCCTTCCAAGAATTTGCAGAAGTGTCTCCTAAACATTTGCATAAATGTCTCTTAAAGGTGCAAAATAGGGAATTCTTTCACCCTTCCCCCCCTAATAGAGAAGAACCTTTCTACGACACGAAATTCCCCACACCCAAACCTGTTCAACCTTCTCTTAGGCCTAAATTGTAATCATCATTATTATATCTCAGCCTTATCCTGTACATCAACAGAAATGAACAAAGACGGCGATGACACGCCACACTTAACTGTATGTCCCACTTCAACCGTTTATGTCTCGTCCTTGAAACCATGTCCTTGCCCTTTGTCATGGAAAAGGAAAAATCTTCGAATTTGCTCTTTTCTGTTGACAAACAGTGGCACCATCGGAGAATCGTATCTGGATAGGGCTGTCCGACAGAACGTTGGAGGGATGGTTTTCATGGTCAGACGGTGAACCTGTCACCTTCACTAACTGGGACTCTGGCCAGCCTGATAACGGCGACGAAAACGATTGCACTGAGATGCATATTGATTCGGTGAGTATGGTGGTAGTCTTTTTACTTTGGCTGTTTACAAGGCATTTATGCAAAATCTCGCCTTTTTCACATCTTTAGGAGTTCTGATTCATGCACCATGGGTGCGTGTGCCCTGCAGGGGTAAGTGACATTTTGAACTAGGAATGGGCCATTCGATCGCCCCCGTAATATTCGTGTTATAAAAAAAGGACATTAAAGGATGTAGAATTAACAACAAAAGGGTGAATTATTTTAGAAAAAGTCCCAAATGTCTTGAAACTTTAGACCTGATATAAAGTTAAGACTGTAAAGCGCCGGAAACAATTATGAGATTGGACTATAACTATGAGCCTAGACCAAAAAAGGCGCAATTTTCTTAGCAACGCAGGCTCCATTGGTGGGGACTGCACTTCGCTGGTTCACAAACGACTATGAAATGCACGCGTTTCAGTTGCATCGCCACCAACACAATGACCACTCCTTTATAACATGGCTCTTTTCAACCTATCGGGGGTGCATCTGATCAAGGTGGATAGCCTTGTTGTACACAACTTTTTGTTGGGGGGGGACGAAACTTACATTAAATTTTGAACTCCCAAAAATAAAGGCGATTAAAGACATGTAGATACCACAGTGCCACTTAATATGGTCCAAGGATGTTCAGCTCTGACATTTTGAATGATAGACATCAAGATAGCTAGAAAGATAGATAACGGGGCATTGCTGTCACAGTGGTACCTTTTCAATCCGCTACAGGGCTATTGGCGTGACACTAAATGCACTGGGAACTACTTGAGCGCACTGTGCAGGAAACCTATTGACTTGGCTCCCCCGCCTCCCGTTGATGATTCGTGTCCAGATGTAAGTGTCAGGTTGCCAGCATGGAACGTTTTTATCATTAATGTGAAACGGACAGTGATAATGTTCAGGATCATTTTTCAGGAATACAAAAAACTTGTGCTTTCGTTATGACATTATTTGTCTACAGAGTGGACATCCTTAGCCTACGCCACTTTAAAAACAATTAATGCTAAATAGTGTTGCAAATTAACGAATAACATTGTTTTGAAAAAAAAGTTCAAGATAAAAGGTTTTAAAGAAAATGTCACCGACATATTCCAGCTTTGCTATGTAGACATCGATCTTCAGGAAGCAATTTGGTAAAACTCATTGAAAAAAATGCAGGATCTCTCATACTCACTTTGAGCCTCTTTACGCTACTCGCGTCAGTATCTCCCAAGGCTGTAATCTTCCATGATGTAGACGTCATTTGAGTAGTTGTATGACGTTGACCAAATCATTTGCATTTACTCTAAAACGTCTACGCATGGAGTGTTTTATGCCAGACAACGTTTGGCCGAGTTGTGATTCATCTCGGCTAATTTTAAGTGACCTACATCCCTTTCACTACCTGTTGTTTGCAGGGTTGGGTACCATGGATGGGTAAATGTTACCTAGCTAACCAGACAAGGGCTGCATGGGCTGATGCCGCAAGTATGTGCTCTACAGAAGGGGGACAACTTGTCGTCATTGAAGATGGGTGAGCTTTAACAGTTTGGGAAGGATGTTGAGGCAGCACGTTTACCACTGCCACAAAGCATTCTCTGTCATTTCCAGATTCATCGAAATGTTCAGCTGCCGTCACAGCGAAAATGTATCTATGGTTTGCTCGTTGCTAGAGAATTATATTTATTTACAAAGTACTCAAGTTGTCACTATTATACTCCGTGACATTAATTTGTCCTAGTTGAAAGTAAGACTTTGTGATCCTGGTGATGTAATCTTTGTTTGAGGTTTGGGGGCATGTGTTTTTGGCTTCCCTTGGGTATTATGCGTATCATGTTCGTGTTCATTATAGAGCCAGTATCTGTATTTGTTATCTCTAGGTATGAGTTGGCTTTCCTCAGTGGTGTCTTGGGTCTGAAGAGGTGGGATAATTACTTTATCGGCTTGAGTGACCTTGCAAGTCGCGGCTATTATCAATGGATTGACCAAAGTGAGGTCACGTTTACCAACTGGGCCAGCGGGCAGCCAGGTAAAGTACCAATTGCTCCTTTTTATATTGAAAAGGTAACACTGATTTGTTACGGAGTAGTACAGACTTTTCTATCAAAAGGCTCCAAATTATGACCTAATAAGCTGCGTGATTGCCACTTTTTCACAACCAAAACAGATGACTCAACGGGAAACTGTGTGACGATGAAGTCTGGTTCCGATGCCGGCTATTGGAGCGACCGATCGTGCGAAAAAGGCTACCTCTTCATTTGTGAGAAATCCCGCATCGGCTGGCCCACCATCACGCTGCCAACTGCAAACCCACCTACTCAGCCGTCTGACGTTGGCTGCAGCCCAGGATGGATTGGTTATGGAGACAACTGCTTTAAGGTTGGTCTTTTCTTGGAAGAAAATAGAATAAGGATTTAAGAAACGGAGACGCAGCAATCTTTCCCGTTTCTGGGCAGCCTTTGACAGCGGGACTATAATTTGCTGCCCTCGTGAGTTTTCTTCCTCGTGACGCTTTGCCAACTCTGTCAGCGGGATTATGGGTGAACCATAGGCCCCATGCATGCCCAAGTGAATTGGTCTTTGATACTTGCATTCCCTAGGCCCTGTATGTGCCGTTGTTTATTAAGCTCTATGCTGTGCCATAGTTGAAGGCAATTCACAGTGCTTGTTAATGCTGAAGCCGTGAGATTTTTTCGACGCTTTCCCATATTAAAATAAAAGACTAAAGAGGGAAAGAGACGCTGGAACTTTTTGCGTGTGCGTGGAAGTTGGTGTTTGTGTTTTATTTTGGTGGGCCCTCAAACGTTTCTATAGATAGGGAAATCCCACAGGAATTCTGGACTTGTTTTAGGGGCCGAGAACTTGGTAAATGAAAATAAGGGACCTTTCACTTGAACTATTTTCCCATCTTTTACGAAAATTGTGAAAGAAACTTGTCTTGCTAATTTTCTTTGTAGATTGTATTGTCAAAAGCAGTATTCAGGCAGACAATAATATCGGCAGGATATCGGGAAAAAATGAGTCTAGAAATAATTCTTTGGTCTCCAATCTTTTACAACAGGCTACTTTAATAAAGAAAATCGTAATTTCGTTTTTGATTTACTCTGTTTCCACTGGCAAGCCGTTTGAAATCAGTTCAGCGCAAGATGGGTCCACGTGGGTAGAAGCTTATACAGCGTGTGGGAGCTTTGGCGCCAGCCTGGCTAGCTTCCACCACCCAAACGAAGAGAGACACATCATTGACTCATTGTAAGTTGATGTCATTATTTTGAACTTCATTCTTACTGCCTAAATTCGGCATTGACATGAGCTTCACGAATATTCCAGTGTTATATTACGCGTGAAATACAAGTGAGTCATGGAAGGATGTTGTTATCTTTTTCAGCACACCAACTTCGGATCGTGGGTTTTGGATCGGGCTTAATGACTGGAGAAATGAAGGCGGTATGGCGTTTATATTTTAAAGCAAAGAAATGAAACTCACATAGAAATACGTAACAATCACGTCTCCAAGACGTTAAATTTTAAAGAGTTATGCAAAATTAACGGAGGTCCAGTTCTGCCAATCGGTATTAACCGATTACAAAATTGCAGAATGACTTTCTTTTGGTAACAGTCTTCATCACACAGTTACTCTTTGACTCATCCTTAGAAACAACACAGTAAAAAAAGTCATAAAGATACAACGTATGTAGCAAAGTTCGTCCAAAGTTGTTAGTAAAGGGAGTCATTCTTCAAGGAAAGGTATTATAGGTTATTTGGCAATGAAAAAAATACAGGTGCACAGTCAACTGCCCTGTTAAGGGTTGCTTTCACACAAATTGTGTGTCCCCTCCTTTGCAACTGTTTTCTTTACACAAGGATCCATTTTGTATGTTACTTCAATTTAGAAAATTGCCGTTTTGTCCTATCTGCTCAGGCTATGAATGGAGTGACGGCTCAGTGGTGCAGTACACTTATTGGCATACCGGACAACCCAACGACAGCGGCGGTCGAGAGCAGTGTGTGCTGACCTTTCTCTCTACCACGACAGGATGGTTCGATGCACCTTGCTACCAAGAGCTGAATTTCATCTGTAAAATGCCCAAAGGTAACTGCAAGCCATTTTCCACATGTAGCATACATTCATTTTTAAAATGTTTATGTATTGAATCTTCCATCCCGTTCTACTTGTATGCCGAATCTCCTTATAGTCATTAACGTGCGTATTTTGTTGTGAATTATTTCTGAAATATTTTAGTTTATGACTGAAGTACATATTTTAAGATTTTTTTCTGTTTTGAATTGAATCAGCCGTGCTGTTTTCGTGAGGAGATTTAGTTGATGGCGATAGATGGCAAAATGAAGCTTTTTGACATAAATTCTGTGAAAAAAGCTCATTTTTAAACTTTTAATTCAAAGGTCATGGTCTTTTTATTTTTGTGATTCTTTGATCTGTTTTGTACTCCCTAGGTATCGAATTAAGAACAACTTCTGCACCAACGTTATCTCCAGGTATGTAGACAACTAAGCTGGTGATAGGAATAGGGATGGGAATATTCAGGAAAGCAATTTCAAGCTTGAAACGGAATATTCCTAAAAAGCAATTTGGAGTGAAAAATATTTATTTTGGTGAAGAATACAAAAAGCACTGAAACTGCTGACAAACAATTCAAGTGTTAGTTTTAGCACATTGTGTTCATCTTGAGCACAGAAAGCAAGAACGCATTGTGTTTCACTTTATAAAATGAAAAGGTCACAATGACTCGTCATTCACTCAATATAGCGCAATCTACCTTGTCAGCACAAAGAATTACCTTGTCGTGCATGGTGATGAGCTAAATCCTGTCATTTTTATAGCCAACCGGTAAATCTTCTCTCCTATAATAACTTCTTCTTTGTGAATAATGGACTAGTAGACCTTTGTTTTTGAACTTAGGCGAACCCTGTGCCGATGACCCCACCTGGATCCACCGATACCCGTATTGCTACTTCTTCAGCTCTTCGTTTGAATTTGACGGCGTTCAGGACTGGCATCATGCTGAAGCCTGGTGCCAGGCTAAGAACAGTCATCTTGTGTCCATTCACGACTCAGCAGAACTCAGCTTTCTTCTTGAATATGTGAGCTCACGAAGAAAGTGTTAGATAAATGGATGGAAAACACATTTTTTGTGCAACAAGATGGCCTGTGAACAGGAAAACTATGCCTTCCTCACACGTTTCAATCTCGTTGTGAAAATGTAGTCTTGTATCTTTGTATAATAATGTTGAAAACGACAATTCCATGTGTATGAGTCTTCCTCTTTCGTGGGAGTGTGTAAATTCGTGAAATATAAACTGCAATGCCAAAAAATTGTAGAAATTCAAGTTTATTAGTATAATTTTACTAACGTAACTATCAAATAACTTGATTCGAGTGATATTTTTAACTTTGCCCAGAGCCAGCTGTTTGCCTCATATTTCTGGATTGGTTTGAGAGAGAATGGCTCCTACGCAGGACACTATGAGTAAGTATGAGTTTTAAACTGCTGGTGACATTTGACGAAAATGCAGTTCCGCTGTTGTATTGGTTTTAAAAAATAGAGCGAAATCGTGCGGTATCTCACTGGTATCCCTGAATGTGACTGATAAATGCAACTCCTAGCTCGTAATGCTAGGAGAAAAACCTTTGATCCAATCTGCAGGTCGAGGTTTGAAAGCTAATTTTCCTGATGAATCCGCAGTCACAGGTCCAGGACAACTCGCGTATACTGTCTGTCTGTGATGACAAATCTGATTGTTTGCATTTTGACCATAAGCTGTGAGTAGTTTTATTTCCTTTTTTGTTTACATTGTTTAGATGGTCAGATGGCAGTCTTTTGGACTTCGAAAATTGGCGTTCTGGCCAGCCGGATGATATGAACGGTGAAGAGCAGTGCGTGGAGATGCAGAAATTTTTCTCTTGTGAGTTTTGTCTTGTTTGTAAGGGAAGACGAGGGTGCACAGAGAGGTTAATGCGAATTTATTCACTGATGCTAAAGTTTCTTTCTGTTATAAATACGAAACCTACTTCAACGATTGGGGGGGAAATTAAGGTGTATCTGGGTAATATTTTACTTGCACGTTTTAAACATGATTGAAAAACTATGGCAATGTTTCCAGATGGAATCAAAGGTGCAGCGCTTTCTGGAAAATCTGGAAAACTTTCAGTGTTCACTGTTGGAAAAAAAATTAAGAGGAAAGTTTCCCTGCTGATATTTAGCTCCTCCGGGCTGTTGGAGTGACAACAATTGTGGTGTACAGAGACAGTTTATCTGCAAGCGTAACGTAGACGACCCTCCTGTGGCCACTCCGGCGCCCACAGAGGTCCCAGTCGGGGGATGCCCGACGGGTTGGTGGAAGCATAACCATCGGTGCTACATGATCGGCGGGAAAACCTTCAACACGCGGAAGACGTGGCACGATGCCAGGGCGGAATGTCAGAAGACGCCAGGGGCCAACCTGGCCTCCATACACAATGACAATATTCAGAGTGAGTTCTTGAGGGTGCTTAACAGTGGCCAGTTTGTAGGGACATTTAAGTGCATTTAAAGTTCCTTTTAAGATTTTTCAACATTAGAGTACAAACGATTGAATGAGAACTTAACGTGGCGATTCACAGGAGAGTGACTCACTTTTCTCGGACAGTAACGAGTAAATGTGCTATTCAATCCATCAATTTAATCAGTGGATATATCCAGAGGCGACATTTTACGGCATGAACATACCCTCCCCCTTTGTGGCGGAAAACCTTGTGTCGGGTTTGCATTGAGCGACCGTCAAGGAACGCTCCGTACAATAGTATGCATGGACCGAATGAAACTAAGAACAAAGGAATGAAAGAAAAACAATTTTTCATTTATATTGAATGTGAAACAATCCTTTTTTGATTTTGGAATCTGTACATTTTTCCCCTGAGCGGCCCCCTGTAAACGTATTGTCATTTTCTCCATGTAACAGCACTATTGGCTGCTTTCTTGACTACCACTGAATACGATGTGTGGATTGGGTTATCGTCTTTGGGGACCAGTGGCAGGTTTCTCTGGAACGACGGGAGTTCCTTTGACTACGAGAACTGGGGATATAACGAGCCTGATGGTTCCAATGTAAGCTGTTCACGAAGTGTCATAAATAGATTGTTCGGAGTTATATTAATTTTACTTCCACATTAAGATGTTTATCATGAGGTCACAAGGGGGTGGGTGAGGCGATGGGGGCACTTGCCCCCCAAAAGAAAAAATTGGAAGAGTAAAAAAAGAAAAAAATGTAAAAAAATGGAAAAATGCAAAAGGAATGAAGTAAATGACCAAAGGGATGAAAATCAGCCGTTTGCTTAAAAAAAACACCGAAAATGACAACCTTAAACTGTTTATGGTTTACTAGTTTGTTACAGATGATTGCTTCCCCTCCTCCAAGAAATTTCCCCCGGGATAAAAAATGCCCCCCCCAAAAAAAAATTCGGTGACGCCCATGGTTATCCTTGAGGTGTAGTATATAATGGTATATGTGCACAGTGTATTCACTTGGCCCATTGTTATTAGAATCCCAATAAATTGATCTTATTTTAATTGGATCGAATGTGCTTTATCACTGTCACCGTTGCTTACGGTGCTCCAGTCACAGAATTCCACGGACTGCGTCAAATTAATGAACGAAGCGGAAGAGACGGGCAAATGGAATGACGAAGACTGCTCAAAGCGCAACAGTTACGTGTGCCTCATGAAACCAGGTGTGTATCTATACTCATCGTGTCGAAACTTTAAGCAATGTATTATCGTATTATGTGATGTAATTGCCACTGTAATAGTGAAACTCTTTGACGATAATGCATTAAAGACAGTGTTTTCCAGTTGCATAAAACAAGCTCAAACTTACAAATTTTCTTAGGAAATTATATATGTCGTAACCTACCTGAGCCAACAAACTTAGGGGAAAAGTGCTGTCCAGGCTTTGAACCACAGACTCACTGTATCCCGTTCGTTTTCCTTTCACCTACTACTCTTACCTACGCAAATCAGCTCAATCGGCATCTCTTTTTACTTCTTTTGCGCCTAGGACCCTACGTAGTGCTGTTGAAGTTGCTCGTAATTCATGTGCCTATTGTAAGGTTGAGCTTTGTCAGGTTGGATGACATGTTGCTGCCCAAGTCTACTCTGTTAGCTTGCTCTGTTATTGTTTGGATCGGAAGGAAGGTTGAGCTGATATTGATTCTATGTACACACATCGGGCAAAGCCGTATGTGAAGCTTTAACCGTAAATATCAATAGGAACCACCTTGATTGTATAGTGTTGTTCGGTCGGCCAGCTTTTGAATAGCTGGTCGAGGTTTGTTTGGTTAAGCTTGGTTGAGTTTAGGATTGGTTGGTTGTAATTGTGGTAACAATAGGGAAATGTTAAATCTAAACTTTGCCAAAAAAAAACAAAACAACTTAAACGTGTGGCTCATTTCTTGCAAGATCCAACAATTCCAGAAACAAATTTCACCCTGCCTGCCTGTCCCTACAAGCCCGGTTACATTTACAATGGCAAGGCCTGCTTCAAGCTGGATACTTCGAAGCTACGATCCATGGGTGAGGCGAAGCAGTACTGCGCTGATGATGGAGCTACGGTAGCTTCTATACTGAACGGCTACGAGCAGGCCCTGCTCCAAGCCATGGCTAACGAATACGCCAACGGGAGTGTGTGGTTGGGCCTGGAAAAAGATCCCGTAAGATAACTCGACGAACACACCCTTCCTCTGCTCGTCGAAAAGGATTTATACCAGAATTTTATTTCCCAAACACAATATAATTTCAATCACTTTTGAAAAACCCTGAAATAGTTCTTCAACTATAAAATGTTGAGGTAAAAAGAAGAAAGGCAGGGTGTCCATAAACTGATTTCTTAAGTCTACTGATTAATTTAACCATATAAACCAGTCGAAACTGACTTCAGGCAACCAGAAGATGGTGCAATTCCGTTTCATCGCGTTTTTGAAAATATTTCTTAATATATAGAGACTTCACTGATAAACAGGCACTTCCCCGTGAAACCAAATTTAGTAAATGTAAGCAAGAAACGTGAAATAAACTAGCAGTTGCAACCACATACAGTGCACAGGACTTAGCCAATAGTGGTAGGTGGAACAGAGCGTAACAAGACATTAAAGAAAATATAGTGACACGGAGAAGAACCTTGAATTATAGTACCTGTAATACTTATGCAAAGCAAAGTAATTCTTGCTTTCGGTGTTTAACAATCACGAGGAGCTTTCCCACAGGCCCACGGAGCTCCTGAAAAGTTAGCAGAAAAGTCATGTTTACTATTTTGCTTGTGCTGCGTAATGTGGAAGTGCTTACCCTTGTGCGTATAGAGATTCCTATGTTACGTCGTCAAATTTACCTCCTAAATGAGGGTGCCTTCTGATTTGCTGTGCTTACTACTTACGGTCTCCATGAAAAACGCAGAGCCTCAGCATCTTGTGTGCTTTGAAGAGCTGTGATATTGGGCCGTGCCCTCACCCATCTCAGAGAAAGAATTTAATACAATGTTTGAGGCCCTGTGGCGTTGTTGCGGAAATTTCCTCATTTATTTGCTTTATTAACCCTAACCCTCCTCAATCCTCCAACAGGTGAAGGATTGAGGAGGGTTAGGGTTATTTTAAGGTTAGTTTGGTTACGGGTTTGGTTAAGGCTTTGTTATGGGCATTAATTTCAACAAATAGTGAAAGAACAAAGGCATTGAATAATCATATACCGGTAAATGTGTTTTTATGCCACAGACGACAAATACACTGAAGTGGATTGACGGCTGGCCTCTCCACTACTCAAACTGGGGGTGGGGCTCTCCCAACGGGGCTGACTGCGCCATCATGGCCAAAAGAGAATGGTTTTGGGAGGACGGGGAATGGATGACAGTGGGCTGTGTCTTCCCACGTTACACAGCCTGCAAGATTGCCACAGGTTCGAAAATTATCGTTAGCCTTGTTTCAGGGTTACTAACCAGGAAATCTACCATCACATTATTTGAAAAAATGAAGTCAACTTCTCGTCAGCTTTATGGGTGAAAAGTAATTTCAACTCCAGTGTCAACGAAAGGGACCCCAGTTGCGCATCAAAGGTTTTCCTTTGAAGACAGGGCACGGCATAAACGTCCCGTAGAGACACAAGCTGTCCATGGTCTGATGTCCATTTTCTTCATTGCATGTACACACAATAACGTATTATGAAGATAATTTTGAGGGATTACATAGCTAGTGTTAGCAAGGGAAAGGTTTTCCGGGGTTGGGCAGGTGCTCTTTGCTACAATGCCTTAGTATCCACCATGGTAGCCTCTGTGATCAGAAGCGAACTGTGTATGTTGCCCTTGGGCGGACAGTCTTTATTCCATTCGCCGTTTATAGATGAACTAGAACAACTAAGACACAAAGTACCGGTAACCAACAAACAAAAACTACGAGCATACGAGCCAACCGAACCAAAACAATAACAAGACCGCTGCTCTGTATAATATGTATGAATATACCTTCAATAAGATCACTTAAACTTTCTCTACCTATAAACCTCAAACTTCAATACTTTTCCGGAACAAGTAGAATTCAAATCGGAGCGGTTTCATTGAAATAACGATTTGAAAAAAAACCAAAAAAAACAGTAGCGTCAGGACAATTTCAAACTTGAGCAGATGGTCGACACAAATGACAATAAGATCAGTGAATCGTCAACAGCAGCACCAATCGTTAGCAAGCATGCAGCAAAACTGTCGGCGATGACCAGGGATCAATGAATTCGGATAATTGTTCTATTTCTGGTACTACAGCTTTGCCACCAACTCCCCACCCAACCTCTGCTGGCTACTGTCCCCCTGGTTGGAAGGAGTTCGGCTCCGGTTGTTACGTCGTGCCGTCTAATATCTTCAACCAGAAGTCCTTTCCCGAGGCGCGCTATGACTGCCAGTTCAGCCGCGGAGCCGACCTGGTCATGATCGACAGTCAGGCCGAGAATCAGTTCGTGCGCCAGCTGGCTGAGGAGAGGTTCGGGCTGTCTGAAATCCTGCTTGGGTTACACCGCAATACACACGGTAGGCTAGAACCACTGCCAGCGTGCAATGTGAGCCGCATCCAAAGTGCTTGACTACTAGTTGAAATAACACATGCGTCTATTGGGGAATGCACAAAGCAACTAGCTGAGTGCTTCCTTATGCATGCGTGTTTTCATCAACCATAGCCAAAAAAATTGGACACGGTTTGACTGCATCCGCAATAACCCTTCAAAAGTACAATCTTTGAGCATGTATTGGGCTATATGCTCACTGCCCGAAGGTCTTCATTTTACCTCAAGTTTCTTTTTGTTTGGTCCGTTAAACTTTTGTTTGGTCTATTAAAACGTTCACGAATAAACGTAATTATGATATTTACTTAGAATAGTGTGGAATTGTTCACTCTTGTGACGTGTGGCAAAAACTAGCATCTTTCTTTTATACACTCACAGGGGGCTGGGACTGGATAGACGGCACGCCTGCATCCTACGTTAACTGGGGAAGTGAACGGCCGGCTACGGTTTCCCAGAACTGTGCCATGATGCATCTGGACAGCCAGGGCAAATGGTTCGGCACCAGTTGCTTCGCTGAAAATCACTACATGTGTGAGAAGCCCAAAAGTAAGAGATACCCACCACGGCGAACTTTCTCGTCTTGAACTATATCAGTCCTTGTCTCTCTTTAGGTAGCTAAACGAGCGTCACGTGAAAATGCTGTTAGTAGTGAGACTCTGGAGTTATGACGTTCGTATTTCAGGTCATGCACTCAAAAGGATGAAAAAAAAAACTTTAATCAATTCAATGGATGGAGAAACTCGTGGTTGTTATTATGCATATTTTCTGAGGGAGTGAGGGCATATGAGATAAGGCTATCCGACAGAAACCCTTTCAAAATATTCTGTCATGGTAGGGTACATTTTTAAATGATTTTTTAAATAGATTTAATTAGGAACTTAAAATCTTGTGGGTGACGTTTTAAAACTCCGAGAGAAGATTATGTGTAAAGACCACGAGTAGCTGTTGCTTTATAATAAATTGCTGACAGAGGTATACGGCCCATTCAATCTCCCTCATACAAAAGTTTTGAAAAAACCCAAGTATCTATTTTAAGGTTATTTCGCATCGATCAAGAAATTATGGTTTTATATTAGTGCCTTTACATGCATGCAAAGTTTGAAAAAGATCAAAAATGGTGACAATTGAGTTCTTGGGGACACCCCCGGCTGTAAGATGGTCCAAAAAGCCTGGCTCCACAGGATTAAACTGCTTCTGGAACAGCTCTTAACTTGCTGTCACCACTCTCTTGCAGTCCCCTATTCATCAACTCAAGTGCCGACGGTAACTGGGCATGTCACCCTCCCGTATTCCTCAACCAAAGTGCCAATCAACGCTACTGGGCGCGCTACCCTTCGTGAGTACATTATATCAATGCAGTTTAGTAGCTAATACACAAATACAAACCAAAATGCTTGAGAGGTGACATTTAAAAAGTCGCATAATGCAGTTGGAGTTGGTCTGGCGCTTATGGGTTGTATTATCTCCATGCATATTCCAGGGAATATTGCAGGTTTATCTTGTCTTCTAGCATCAGTCACAATTTCTATTAATTAATAACCTGTTGAGACTTTGACGCTAATGGAAGATACGGTAATTAGCTTCAGCTCCATGGGAAACTCTTGAGCCTGCTTTCTTGTCTTTTGTTTTTTAGCCCCCCTCAGCCCGCCAACTGGAATTGCCACAACAGTCGGAGGTAAGCAAGGAGATGAAACAAGATTTAATACTTTATTTCATGGAATAAGATGCTTATAGATTAAAATATAATTTCTTTTGTGTAAGTTAGTGTATTAAGATTTTATTGGGTTCTAATGTATTGATTTTATTTAATCCCTATTGGTTTTCAAGTACATTTTGCAGAGTTCTCCTGACAGGCACTGTTCGAGTTCCAGGCTGTTGAACAGTTGGAAAAATGAACGTTTCATTGTTTTAGACACTCTTGAGTGAATAGATACTTTTGGATTTTTGACAGAATTGTCCTTTAGGGAGTTACCTTTTTTTCGTTAAACTTTATATGCCTCGCTTCTTTGGCTGTTTACAAGCTCATTCATGAATAGAGTTTACCTTCTTTTGTCTCCACCAATGTTATAGATAAAAAACACTATAAAGAGGCCGTTAAGGTGTGTGCCCAAACCCCTGTTGACATCGTTTTCGTATTCAATATGAAATAATTATGTTGCTGCTTTATGAAAGTCAATTTTGTGTGAATTTTTTGGCCAACAGGTGTCCCTTGCACAAGCGGTTGGATCGCACGTGGTGACTACTGCTACTATATAGAGACTGGTAACCGGTTGGATTGGTTGACGTGGAGTGAAGCCGATGCCTTTTGCAACAACCATGGCGGTCACCTGACCTCCATCCATTCCTTCGCAGAGAACGACTACATCAGAAGTCACACCTCGCCGGTATCTTTAACACAGCCAGCTATGTTGTGCATTGATGGATTGTGTGAAGTCCAATCAAAAGGAGTGTGGCCCGGAAATCATTTATTTGGCCACTTCAGTCACAGAAAGTTCACATGACTGTGTGCGTTTATCGTCCTACAGTTGGATTACGGATTCTGCCTCAGATTATTTGCCCTCATGTACCAATACTTTGCAATTTCGTCGCATAATTACAAATACATTCATTCGGCAGTGTTTTGGCAAGAGTTTTGTTGGGCAGAGTGACAACTTGACAGTGCTCGATGATGGCCACAAAATAAGAGAATGTTTATTGTTGCTCTATATTAGAATACAGGCACTACACTGTGAAGTTGTGCTCAGCTGACCTCATTTAAGTAAGAACTTGGTTTCTCTAGCAGGTGAACAAGAATTACTGGATTGGCTTGAGGGAAAAAGTGGCTGGCGGTGTCCATATGTAAGTCCAGATATCCTCTAGGAGCATAAGAGAAGAACTTGTTTGGACAAAAGAGTTTAAATGTAATACGAGAGCGTGTGTTTGATTAAAAACTTTCCCAGAATAATGCATAATTGTTTTGGTTGTTCATTGGACGGAATTTTTTTAATTGATAGCTGGTCAGACAAAACGGAGTTTTACTACGATAACTGGAACTCAGGTGAGCCCAATGACCATGCAGGGGAGGAGAAATGCGTAGAGATGTACCCGACCAGTAAGTATGGCCTATAGGCCACAAGGTTAGATACACAGTTTTTAATTAAGATTGTTTGCCCTTTTTTGAGATGCCTGATATTAATTTTTGAAATTATTAGCCTTCTTGGTAGAAAATTGATCACCATGATCTTATCATATCTTAACCAACATCTTATCTGGCAGCTGCTGGTTCGTTTAGCCTGCGTGCAGACAGTTAGGAATGGCTGCGTACGTGATTCTAATTCAATTACGCGTTACCAAGTGGACCCTCCGCGTTACCAACTGGTCCCTTACTTATTAGCTTGGCAGACGCATTACGTAATAAGATAATGTATTACTTCTACGTCCTGAATATTGACATTTTTGTGTAAAAACCCTCGAAGGTAGTAGTGGGTCTTAAGTGAAGGTAGTGATTTCAGTTTGATCCCCTTCAGTCTCAGAGGTAATTGTTTTCCACGTCCTTCAAATCTGCTTCAAGCATTATTTTCCCAACTTGTTCTATCCCCAAGGCGGTAAATGGAATGACATGGCCTGCGGAATACCTCAGCCGTTTATCTGCAAGAAGTTGGCCTCCAACAATGACCCCATCCCTGTCCCTTCCCCCTACCCACTCACTGGTGGCTGCGAAGATGATTGGTATCGCCTTGGGTATCAATGTTACAAACTATTCGGAGACTCGGTATCGTCTCCTGCGCTGCCGTACAGAGAAGCCAGAGATGATTGCGTCGATAGAGGGGGAAACCTTGCTAGTGTGTCCAGTCAAGATGTTCAGAGTAAGTCAAACTCACCATGGCGTTGGTTTGTTGCGTTGAAAGGTCTTTGACACGTGTCTGGTTGTATGTGCTGCAATTTTGCCTCTTTTGAATTAGGTCTTGTAAAGAGTGGCCTACATGTACCTTGAATCTTTCCTTAAGTGGTCTCCAGTACCACATTTTCTAGGTATTGGTAATGATCGAGTACTGTCAAGAAAGCTGTGCGTCTGTCTAGAAAGCTGTGCGTCCCTTTAATGAAAGCAGAAACAAATAAGTAATAATGATGTTTCTGATCTGGAATGGCAGTTTTCCTGACTGCGCTGATGGATCAGCTGAGCAGTACTCACTGTTGGATGGGACTAAATAGATTGGTTGATGACTTTCATTGGACTGATGGGTCACGATTGAACTTCACCAACTGGGCCCCGGGAAATCCAGCCGTAAGTGTGAAACCTCAACTTAGACACTAATCCTGCTTGGATGGAAATTGTTTAGTTTGGCCGAAGACGTTTAGGACTGAAGTATAGCCTGATTTAATCCTCATTGAAGTAATACAGCGGTTCCACAACAGAGGTAATTTTGGGAATAAGGAATCAAACAGGTTAGGTAAATTTTAAAAAGGGAACATGAAGGGGTTATATTTTTACCCTAGGAGCAAACTTTGTTATGCATATGTATTTGAGGTTCCTTTCCAACATTTCCTACTTTTAATTCATCTTCACTTCCATTACGTGCACTAAGTTTTGAGTTTGTTCCTTCAATTTGCGATGCACCGTCAACCAGTCTACCCCCATCACACCGTTTATGTGTTTAGTTATGGCCAGTTTGCATAGACGAGCGAATACTGCACAGGGGGTGGAGGGAGATGGTATGCAGAACCATATTTAAAACTTAAATATCAGGCAGAACTACTTGTTATGCAAATAATAGATCCCTGAATTGGAGTGTGGACAGGCTGATAGGGCAGACATTGCGCACGCGTGTTACTGTTCCCAAGAGACTCCCAACACCCTTCATTCTGTAGCATGCATCACTGGAAAACTGAATTAGCTTATTGCGTCTTACAAGACGAATAGTACTTGCACAACGTGGGAGCAAATATATGCATCAACCATGCCAGTCAGTCCGTGACGCCATACCCAACGGTATCAACGCATGGACAGAATATTCAGGTTTCAGACTGCAACAATTCATCGAGCTTTGCTCGCTCTCACTGGAGACAGTCTTGTCTTGCGTGAAATCTTTCTTATTAGCTATTTAAATTGGCTCATAAGTATTCCTCAGTAGAGTAATCGTCTTTAATTTAGCTATCAACATTTGGTTTACTGTGATTTTTTTCTTGGAAAACAGCTCCAAGGGGGTTGTGTCCACATGCTGAAGGGCAACATTACCACTTCTGGACAGTGGGCAAATATCGAGGGATCTGCAAATGAGAGTTACATTTGTCAAAAACCACTAGGTGAGTCACCAGAAACGTTTCAAAAACAAAATCAAAGACGCAGATATTGCAGGCTTTCATTGTGTCTGCATAAAATCTACTTTGAGTCATGCATTGTTCACAATTTAACAAAGCTACGATTTCCATCATGAATCTAATCTGTCGTACCTATTGTCCTTGCTGTCTCCCCACAAGAAGTAACCCACATTTTCACCTCTTATTTAGTGCTGATGGGAATGAATTTTCCACTCATTAAAATGCATGTACAAAAAAATAAAAGGACCGCGCAAAGAGAAAGTTCCAAAATTCAAAACTACCTGTTCCCTTTTCGCCGATGTCCAGACAAAAACCGTCCAGATACTTGGATCGATATACCTTGTGACATTCCGGGCTACAGTTCTTTCGGGCAAACCTGCTACAAGGTTGACTCGACACCAAACAGCTACAACGAGGCGGAACTCAACTGCCATGGAGATCCGGGCACGCTTGCCTCCATCGGCAACCGTTTCGAAGAGGCGTTGATCCGAAGCGCGCTGACCTACCATGGCATCGGTGACGCATGGATCGGGCTCAAACGAGATGTAAGGATTCGTAGCGCATATTGAGCACGGGGCAATGTTTAATTCCCACTTCAAACCATGATGAATAACCTCGGCCAACTTGTCAACACTCTTAGGCCTAGACTCTACACCGTGAATACTGCCGCGCCGAACTTAATCAAAGTGAGTGGGGCATTAATGCACAATAGCGTGGCATGCCCTGTCAAGCTAAATAACTTGCTTTGCTGAATGCAATTTGCCAAGCCGAACTGGCGATAAACGCCGTGCTATTGCCGTGGAAACTTTACAAAACAAACTAATTATTCAAGTTCGGCGTGGCAGTAACACGGTGTATAGCCTAGGCCTCACTCTTTCAACTGCATGTGATATTACACTGAGTTTGCAATATTATTAATGTGTGCTGTGTTTGATATTTAGCTTCCTCCTTTTTCGTCTTGCACTGTCCAATTTATTTCATCTTTCATGAATTCATTCTGGATGTTTCTGTCATTTGGAGGTGGGAATATTATGTTAGTTTATTCATCAACAGAACAGCGGCACTTTCTCGTGGCTGAATGAAAACCAGCTGTCGTACGTGAACTGGAATCACAACGAGCCGAGCTCGAGGGAGGGAGAAGGATGTGTCAGAATGCTCCCTGGAAAAGTGTGGGACAACACGGCCTGCTCGTCCAAGCGTGCCTCGGTCTGCCAGATCGGGGGAGGTACGATATTTTATTTCCAAATTTGATCAATGCCTTTGTAATTAGGAAAATCCATTCTGCTTCAGCGACAGGACAGTGGGGACATATAGGCAGGAAATTCTAGAGGACTTGAGGTGGCGGCCCTTCGGTCGTCGGCCTAGTGTTTTTTTAATTGTAGGGTATCTTGAAACTGTGTTTTGTTCTTTCAATAAACCCGGGGCAAAGTACTGAATCAGGGATGCGTTCAGCGGCAACCCGAAAGCCTTTACTTCAACTTCACATCAGCTTTACTTTCTTTTGTATGGATGTGGTTCAGGTGCGTTACTTGTTGAGACTGCGAATTAATAGTGAATGTATACGCCCCTGATTTACCTCTTTGCTCATCCCAAACTTTTCGACTGGTCTTCTTGTAGTGTCTCGCATTCCCTCGACTAGTGCAACACCGCGATACTGTGGTATGGCGGGCTGGGAACAAGACGGCAGCGAGTGTCTTCTCTTCAACACCGGACTGACGCGAGTCTCTCGCGATGAAGCCCAAGAGAAATGCAAGCGGGCTTATGGAGCCGTCTTACCCGCGGTCCATAGTGACGAGCAGAACGAATTTATTCGGAGCAACGCCCGGACAGACAAACCACTGAGTTCGGGAAGGGTGTGGCTTCAAATATACAGGAATTCCAAAGGTATTTAACAAAACAGTCGGTTTTTATGAGAATGACATCCTCATCCTCAACCTGTGTGGAACCTTTTTTCATTTTCACACACCTTGAATGGCTGCATGTACTTTTCAGTGGTTCAGTGGTTTCAAGCACATGTCATATACAAAAATGACACAAAAAAGGGGCAAGATCTTTCTTCCCAGTTGGTATTGTTTTTGCTAGGCTGACATAAATAAAATAAATTCGTCACTAAGACGGCGCTGACGAAATGGCGTGCAGTGCATCTCAAGAGCGCCCTCATCGAGAAAGTGGAACTGTCGTTGGGACTGTTTAGGGAAGTAAGGGGGAAAACAGAAATTACATCTCTCAGTCAAAAACACTGTTTTACTCAACAGTATGCGTTTCCATTATGTTAGGAAATCTTTTCAGCTGTTCTGTTTGCAAATCTAACCAATACCATTAAAATACTGCCGAAGAAAAATATGTACTGCTATGGCATAAAATCCTGCACAAAATATTCCGGCAACATTCTTGAAAAAAAAAAGCTACATATCAAAGAATGAAAATTATGCCTTTTGTTGATAATGTATTTTTTCTTGTCTCTGGCAAATTCTCAACTGAAGTGTGATCTAGATTCCAGAGTGAAAGTGCACTCCATTTCAGTGAAAATTTGTTCCCTACGACTGAAACTAGGGACAGGATGAATTTGAGTAAAATTTCCTCTCTCAACTGCCCTGCTATAGATTCAGATTTCAGTCGAGTTTCCATTGAAAGTTTTTGTGTTTCAAAATAAGTCATTCTAAATTCAAAATGATTTGTACTTTAAATTGTTTAGTTTTTAGTTTCAGTCCCTGGAAACGAGAGTGCGGTAGCCAAGATTAGAGGCGGTCAGGAACGTTGCCATCCACGGGTGCACAGGCCGTCTGTAATCTGGTGGCCGCTTGTTTGTTCACGAAATAATGTTCTTGTATACTTTGTGCAATTGTAAATTATTGGGATAAAATAATTGAAAGAAATTTAAAAGCAGAAAAAGTGTTAGATCTAACATTTCAATTGGAAAAAGAGATGGGACAATAATATATCAACAAGTGTACGTAAAGCGGATTTTAAATGTTTGGAAGGACAAATGTCAAAATTGTTGAGGATTGAAAATCCTGAGTATTATATTAACAGTCTGCAGCTGTCACATTTAGTTTCTTCGGACATTTATTTCGGTGACTTTTTTGGTCACTATGTGCAGGTGACTTTGTGTATAATGACACGGAAGGGAGCAAAGTGGACTATGTAAACTGGGCCATCGGTCAACCTGATGGTCAATCAGTCGGCGCGGACTGTGTGGCCATGGACGTGAATGATGGGAAGTGGTCTGACGAATTCTGCGATGTCCGCAAAGCCGACTGCGTCTGTCGGCTGCCTACTTCTGAAGGTACAGGATATCGGATACCCATCCTCTTCACCGTAAAACTACACTTTCTGCTCAACAGAGTAGCGTTGCTTTCTGACCAAAGGTTTGGTTTAACTTTTGTATCAGTATCTGCAGAAGCACCCCCTCATTGGTTGAAAAGAGCAGCGTTAGTCGGGAGTGTTCAATTTGTTGGTAGCGATGCGGCCGTGACTCGTGCATTTCCTGGTCGTTCGTGAACCAGCGAAGTCCTATTCCAAAGGAGCCTCTGTTGCTGACAGAATAGCACCCCTCTCTTGCTGGATACCCGAGGCCCATTCGTAGTGCTAATTTAAATCTCGACGTTTGTAGTTTTGCAGTCAGTCACAACGAAAAAATCTGAAATGTAGATTTTTTTCTCTTGCGATTGAAAATGACTTTATGCAATGAAATTGAAGGTGTAGATCTGAAAATGAGCCATCATGTTTGGCAATTTGCAGAACTCCATGCCCATCCATTTCTCAGGCATTCAGGATTTGAATAATTAATATTCAGCAATTGTGACCAGTTTGAAAACTCGCAATGCACCACGTACACCCTGGAACCAGGTAGTTGAGGCTTATTGTGACTCATGGTAGAACTGTTAACTGCTTTAGTTATTCCACAAAAATTTGTTCACTTTTGCCAATATTGACAGAAAATAAATACTTTCATACTTATTTTCACTAAATTTCCACTTTTTATCAATCTGGCATTTCAATTTCATTCTGGGCACAAATCACCAATCGTTTTAAGAAACAGTTGGATAAACTATTAAGCGTTCGTTGTGTAGATGAAATACCTTGTGTATATCAAATCATGACAAGTGATTATTTTATTTCGTATAGGTTACCCTAAGACGGAGCTACCTTACACTTCAGAATTCGGTATGATTTAGTAATTATCTTTGGTTATCAAAAAGCTTGAAATTGAAAAGTTAAACCATGTGCTTTTTGCCGTGTTGAGGAACAAAATTGTAACCTATGTGCATACACTGGAATGATTTCTATCCCATTAAACCAAGAACAGTGCAGGGATGTATGAATTCCACCACTGTACGAAGATATAGCCGAGTACGTAGAAAACAGCAAAGGAGATAACACTGGGCTATGGCCTTTTTTCTCTTCTCCAGAAACAGGCAAACCAGGCACACTCAGCCCGAAACCCCAAACCGGAGGTGAGATAAAAAAAAATAAAATAGAACACACCAAGATTCAAGAGGTAGCTAGCCTTACATCTTTGAATTTAGTATGAGACAAAATTATTGCCGTTACAAGAAACAGTCCTTGAAGTGAAAATCCGACTTTTGCCTTACAAGGAGAAAGCGGTTGCTGTTACAACCTTGACATATTTGTATTCATTACATCTTGTAGGTGTCCGTGGCTTGGCCCAAATAAGTCGCCCTTGCACCTGTGTAACGCATTATCCATGTAGGCCTGGCCTACTTCACCAAACCTTGACCAATGCCTATCGATCCTTTTTCTTACAGGTCTGTCAGGCGGGGCCATTGTGGGTATAGTCATTGCTGTCATCATTGTCGTCGTCGCAGGCCTTGTCGCTGCATACCTCTTTCTGGGTCGCTGGCGCGGCAAAGGAAACTTTATGGAAGACCGCGACGTGATGTCTACAACTGGCTTCGAAAACGCTGCCTACTTCTCGAATATTGAGGTTGATGCAACTACGACTTGAATGGTCGGTCACACGTTATAAAAACTCCAAAGAACCTAATGTGAGCATCTTAGTTGCTTTTCCATAATGAGACTGAAAACTCATATTCCTGCTCTTTGTCACAAAATCATTGATCAGTATCTGACGTCTTCATATTTTGAGATTCTTAAAAGAATCAAATGTGTATGGAAATGAAGAAATAATAACCGAAAGAATTAATGCATTAATTAATGCGTTCAAGCTATAATCACCGCGTACAACATGTGCCCGTATGAAAATAAGAGGGCGCTGTTGAAACTGAAAACTTAGTTCGAGTTTGGGCGGCCTGCTCTTGACAAGAGTTTCTTGGTCTCGCGCTCCAACGGCTGGAACGTACCCCAAGAACTCTGTTCTCGGAACAGGATCACACACCACCTCCTCGTCAGGGTTGAGATTTTGTTTTTTGAACAGCCCCAAAATAATTGCGAGATGGCTTACGAAGCCGGACACAATGGGCAGTTTTCCAGAATGAACACTAATATTTTTTCATAAAATAGATATGAATGTTCCTGTTTGTTTGAAATCATAAGAATTCAGCCCAGTGATCCAAATATTATCTCTCTAAGAGCGTACATGGACGCCGCCCAGTGTTACCACCGCGCTCTCTCGCACGTGACAACCACATTTTTTTCCATTTGATGAAATTTCCATTCAATAAAAGTATAATACAGTTTCGGTTTGAGGTATCAAAATTTACGGGCAAAATGTGAATTATTTTCTGAAAGGCTGGTGCACTTTTCACATCCGTTAAAGAGTATTTTCCCCATCATGACGTTCAAGTGCTATTCCTAAATGGTCGGGCGCTTTGCGCGTGACCCCTACATTGAATATGCCACTGTTTGAGAGGTCATTAACAGGGAGAATTATGTACATGATGTGCCTATATCAGTTAAAAGGAAAGCCTTAGACCAGAGTGGTGAACACGCTGCTTGCACCTTCTTTCTTTTACTTCCTAATGGCTTGTGGCTTATTTACGCAGATTGTTTTATACACTTTATTTGGTTTGCTGTGCCTAATTGAAACCCTGTTTGTTGGTTTGCTGGTTAGGGATGAACAATACATTAGTTCCATTTTTGACAATTAGTATTGCAATTGCGTTTTTTTTTTCAGCGAAGGTTAATTCCAAGGTTTCTCAATAATTTCGTGGGTCCACGTCATTGCAGTTGACCAATTTCATAATTCCAAGACTCCACTGTATCATTTTGCTAGTAAAGAAACGTCATCGCTGTTCGAACTCGCCAGAATTCAAATCGGAAGCTGCCTTGCTTAGAAAGCTATTGGTGTGACTATCTGTCTGCAACATTCAATACTTTTGTTTGTGTTCAAATTGTGATCTTACTGTCCATCAAGAACTCGTTTTTAATCCATCAATACGCTTAAAAAAGCCACAAAATAAAACAATCTTTTTTATTTAGAAAAAACATAAAGACTGTTTTACGATCTAGTTTCATTGTAATGTAGTTTTACCCATTTTTTTGGGAGAAATTATGTTAATTTTTTTTTCTTCGACAAATTCAGTAACATGGTCTTGCTTTGAAATGTTGTCGAAGTTGGCATATATATGCCGATAGCATGATAGACAAAGAGCTAGATACTACTTGAAAACATAGACAGTACATGTATATGGCTATCGGCGTACATCCCGGGGGATGAGGTTATATACCACCCCTTAGGGATTGGGGGATGGGCTATTCAATCATCCTTCACTTTTTCGTGGTGAGAAAAATAAAAGGGGATTGTGAAGGGTTTTCTGACTTCCCAACAACCAAAATGTATTCAAAAGCACTGAAAAAGGGAGAACGACAAACAAGCCATAAATATGTCATTTTTGTAAGATTCAGCATAAATCATATAAACATAAAACATATCACATCTGATCATGAACATCTGTGCCTAGGATATTCAAGAAAAGTGTGGGCAGGTTTGTCTATAAAGTAATGTCACATGAGGTTTCCTGGCTCAGACGCATGGGTCATTGGGGCACGCACCCTTTGCCCAGTATATAAGTTAGAAGTCTGTTAGACCCTATTTTGTTCTTGAGAGCCTGAACGGCGCTTTGTTGATACATTGTTTATTATCGTGGGACAAGGTTCAAGGCGAAGCAGCTAAACTTCACGTTTTAGGGCTTTACAGCACACTGTGTGTGTCAATAAATCGCTGCGCTATGAGGTCGGTGTAGAAATCTATCCCTAGAGACTGTCGGGGGACAGAAGTCACTTTGGTTTAAAAGACCAGAACGGCAAGTTTTTTCAGTGACATGACGTGTGGTGCTGATGAAGGTAACGAGGAAGACTGACCTGAAGAAAGACTAAGACGGAATATTCTGATGGTATTATCGAGCAAGCTTGGAGGTAACTTCCTTAACTCGTGGTCAAACTTGCGGCCGTTCAATTGTAGACAAATTGTCTGGAGGATTGGGAGTACTACTTGGAAACTGCAGGGATGGACTACAGAAAAATACCAGTATCTATAACGTTACAAATCTACCACAAATGACAACTTAATTGACGGTATTGAAAAGAAATCAGTGGCTGGGTGACGAATTCTGGGCTTCCATTTATTATGAGAGAGCAGTTCCTACATATGCAGATTTTCTTTTTGCTCTTTTTTTCAATAAAATATGACAGAAATGAATCATAATCGATGAATGGACGAGATAAAAACAAGAAAAATCAACACCAAAGAGCGAATAGCATTTTGGCCTACTTTGAAGGCACGGGGGGGGGACGTCGACGCGATGCACGACACGACGTTCGACGCAACGCACGACTGTGCGACCTGACGGCAGAACGCAAGGGAGCCGTCATTCCGTCGCGTTTTGTAGTTGTGTCGCCTGGAGGGAGAGAGGGGGAGAGAGAGAGAGAGAGAGAGAGAGAGAGAGAGAGAGAGAGAGAGAAATGTGTGTCGTAAATAGTACACCATAGGGGTGTCAGTTCCTGAAAACAAAAGTCAATCTGGCGTCAGTGTCGGATGTGCGTACGAGCTGCCAAGTGAAACCGGAGTTGAAGATTACGTGGTTTCCACGAACTGACTTGCGGATGAGTTTGTATAGTGTCGGTGACGAATCCAAAGAATTGTAGAGAGTAGGCTCATTGTGGGAGGGGTCCGTGAACAGGATCATGAAGTTGTCTGAAGTCATTGACACCACGAACTGGCACGCTCAGGTGTGCGTGCGTGAGTGCGCTACACTTGCGTGGTTTTTATAGAACTGGGTAATTGTCGTTTTCACGAACTGATACCTTACTGAAGAAATACACTAGGCAACAATTATACGAATGGATTAAATTCATGTCAAACCTATCAGAGCATTTTTTTCTCCGTACAATTTTGCCGCAACATGCAAAGGGGTGTCAGTTCCTGAAAACAATAATCAGTCTGGCGTCAATGTCCGATGTGCGCGCACACTACCAGGTGAAACCGAAGTTGTCGATGACGCGGTTTTGGTCCACGAATTGACTTGCGGATGAGTTTGTATAGTGTCGGTGACGAATTGTAAGAATTGTGGAGAATAGGCTCGTTGTGGGAGCCAACGAAAGGAATGTAAAAATGCGCCCTTGTTAGGCGTGTATAGGGGAGACTGAGGGTTCCGTGGACAGGATCGTGAGGTTGTCGGAAGTGAAAACTTATTTTATCTTCCCGCACACTAATTTTCAGCAGACCCTTGACTGAGCGCTAAAGGAGCACAAAAGCAGGTGCTACTCAGGTATACAGAGTCGCACATACCGCACATTAATTGCCTAAGTGCCTGCAACTGATCACGGGCGCCTGTTGTAGATTTTTAATGTGAAGTCAAGGACTACTTTGTAAAGCACCAGGAATGGTCGATTTAAACCACCGCTCAGTGCTTCATCTACTACTAAAACTGTGATGTTAATTTATTTAGCATCCTGGGTGTAGACTGGAGGACCACACTAGACTGGTGTAGACAGATTTAACACCGTAGTTTTTGCAGTGTTCTGTGATTAAAAACGACCAAAATTCTCTGTGATTCTCCATCAAGATAAGACAAATGAGAAAGCAACGTTTTATCCCTAAATCCTGTCATTATAATAGAAATAGGTTCCTATTGGAAATATGGGCCATTAAAAATAGTGCACCTGCAAGAGTTTGCAACGCGATGCAACGTTGCCCAATCACAACGCGCAAAATCTGTCGACCCTTTCCAAACGTGCATTTGGTCGACCGATTTCGAGCATTGTGATCGGCCAGTAATAAATGATAACATGTATGTTATACACCATCAATAAGATCACAGTTGTTTTACCTGATAACCTCAAACTCCAATATTTTTCTGGAACAAACAGAATTCAAATCGGAGCGGTTTAACTGATATAACGACTTGAACAACATCAATGGCATCAAAACAATTTGAAACTTGAGCAGATTGTCGACAAGAGGTTAATGACAGTAAGATCAGTGAATCGTTGACAGCAGCACCAATCGTTAGCAAGAATGCCGCAAAACTGTCAGCAATGACCAGGGATCAGTGAATAGGAGTGATTCATAATGGTGCGCCTCCAAGAGTTTGCTACGCGTTGGCCAATTACAATGCGCGAATTATGTCGACCCTTTCAAAATGCACATTTGGTTGACAGATTTTGCGCATCGTCATCGGCCAGCACGTTGTAAACTCTTGGATGCACGCTATTGTGAATCGCCCGTATCGAAAAGCTAACTGCCAAGAAAGTACAGCCAGAGACGCCTTCAGCCTCCTTATAACAAGGGTGTACTAACGGGCTCATACTTCAGGCAAACGCGGGGGCGAGGCGAATTTGCCGTCATGAAACATTTGTAGCGAAATAAGCCGAGTTAAAATAATTACTGTGTTCAAATATAGCGAAGTTGCAGCACACTCATTGTAGATGTGTATTTGACGTCACAGTTTTGTGTTCGTGCCAAGTTTTGCGACAAGTATGATTCAGCCTTTGGGTACAAAACGATGCATATTCATTGTATCAAAACCCCACATGGTAAAGTTATCTCGTACATATCGTCGATTCCAGCCAGGAGAACTGTAATTTGTTTGGATTGATGCACACCAGAGGTGGAACAGAGGTTGTGCGTCTCATATTTTTTTCTCATTAATGGGCATACAAGTATAGCAGACAACCCTTTGACGTTTTTTTGAATTCCCAAACACTGAAATGTTCTTCCAAGGGTCCTTTCGTCTCCTTGCCCTAGGTCCCGTCTAGGACCCTGAAAAATCGTCCGATCAACTCTCTTTGGTAGTTTTCCAGAAAGTTTACCAAAAATTCATTGCCAGGACAGCACTCTCTCAGGCAGGCAGCATCGTATAACGAGTCTCTGACGACAATGGCACTCAGGCTGATGTCCAATTTAGCTGTGATGGTAACTTTAGCATTTCTGCGTGGTAGGTAGCCAATTCATTTTTCGTTTCTTTTGATGGGTGTGGTTGGGTTTGACCATTTTTTCCAATGTGGGAATTCATCTGTACCTGCATGCTGGTAGAACTTAGCTGTGGCTTTCACGTAAGTTGTATAGACTTCCCCGTGGGGGCACGTTTTCCTGTTGAACCCCTTCTTCAAACAGGGAAAAACGTCCAGGTTTCACTTACAGTGAACACCTTCAACAGGAAAGAAGAAAAATGAGACAGTGAATAAATTTCCTTGGATATTGGTCCCTTGGAAACAATAAAAAAGCTCAATGCAAAGAATTTGTACAGTGTTCCCATCGTACTAATTATTGCCTTGAGAAAGCGTTTTAATAGTGAAACACACCACTCTGATGTTGCTAACAATGACATATTGTACCCTAAGGGCCACCTTTGAGAATTTCTTGCACTTCTTTAATTAATTTGTTCCCATGATTGGTCTTTGCCAAAGGTTTTCATCTTAGCTACAGTAATGACGAGTGAAAGGAATATATGGGATCACTGACATCTAATTCCTATAAATCATTAAGCGAATCACCAGTGGCATATCTAGGTTTTGAGTCCGCGATGGAAAGGTATAATTATTTTGAGGCGTCGTGCAGTACATGATTTTTGGCAAGAAAAACTGCGTGAGTTGCGCTTTGATTAAATGTTCATCAAACAGCATATTCCTGGGAAAACTAATATCCGTATTAAAAAAAGTGTTAAAGAATGAACAATTACTTTAAAATCAACGTCATGCTGCAAAAAGTGACAATGCTGCGCAAGTAACTGAAATGCCTTAACTTTAAAATGGGGGGTCCCTGTTCACTCGTGGAAATGCCCACTCCAGTTCTAGAGAGTGTCCATTCGGCTTACACTCTGAATTCACTCATGTCATGGGCTGCTGTTATTTTCTCCTCAATGTATAGAACTTTGCGTTGGTAATCCCATTAGTGGACCTGAGTGGGCTGAGGTGCTGAGGATTGGCACGAGAGTGGCTCGAGGACCTGACTGGAAGTGGGGAGATCAGGTATAATGTCCCACCTAATCGGTTATTGCCAATTCATTTGCACGGTGGTGGCACATGAAAGTTAATAAGTATGAAAGAACTTATACATGGCACCGTGATATTTAAAACTTTTAAAAAAACTTAATCTTCGCCATTTAGCAGTTCTTTGAAAAACAGCAAACACTGTACGCATGCAGTCGACTATTAATTGCTATTTCTTTTTAGTTATTAGGATAATCTATACGGAGGATGCAAAACAAAGTTACAAAGCTTGGCGAATCCAGTATTTGTTGCGGGGGGTGATTCAGGCAATTTTTTATGGGGGGGTACATAGAGTTGTCGCCATTGTTGAAGCTTATTTAATGCATGTTTGTTCGTTCTTGTCCAAATAAGACCTTACATGTTTTATGCTTTTAAGTAGAGGAGTCTTCCAAAGTTTAATCGTAGGCCACTTTTTACAAATATCAATGTGCGGGGGAGTTGACCCGTGGATCTGCCCCTGGAAACTCACCCACTTTTATCTAAAATTTTCGAGGGAAAATACAGGTTGAGCAATGATTAAATTTCCGCGTCTGTCCATTGGTTTTCTGTCGGTCCATTTTGGTGGCTTTCATAGGCCTAATTAGTTTCGTTGATATTTGACAAATGAGTCCGTTAGAAAGCTGGGCTGGGGGTTTTCTGCCTAAATAGACCGGTAACTTCTGTTTGTGTACATGTGCGCTCTCCCACGTCACGTCATTATTTTTTACGTCTATTCAAATGCCGACTCTCTATGTCAGGATGGTTCACCGCCTGGCGAAGGTAATATCGTTGCAGAACTGAACAGCAACGGGTGGGTCGAAGTACGCTGGGACGCGGGCAACAGAAACAGCTATCGTATGGGGGCAGAGGGCAAGTACGACCTGAAACTTATCGAGGATGCAGCTGTTCGCTTGGTGAATGGTACTGATGAGCTGAGCGGTCACGTGGAAATCAATCACGATGGCACCTGGGGAACAGTGTGCGACGTGGGCTGGGACATGGGGGATGCTAACATCGTCTGCCGTCAGCTAGGAAGTTTCTTGGAGGCAGTGGAGATCAAGACGGGATCGTTCTACGGGGAAAGTGATCGGTCGATCGTGATGAGTCGAGTCAAGTGTAAAGGCACAGAGAGTCGGCTGGCTGACTGCCCGTTTGTTTGCACCAGCAATCATCCCTGTGATAGCGCAAAGCTAGCAGGGGTCGTTTGCCGACCAAAACTCAGTAAGAGAGAATGTCCACCCTTTTACTTCTACTCATTAGGCTACTTTGTAGACTAAACCATTTCAAGCTAATATAATAGAAACTTATGCCTGATTTTTATTAGAAAGTCATCTTATTTTCATATCATTATTTTTAAATCTATACAAATAAATCATCATTAATTGTCTCGTCAATGTCCATCAATATTTTTGTCACCGTTCTAAATCCTGACAATAACCCCAATTACAAATCCTTTAATGTATCAAATGATTTTTCATATCCTTCAACTGTCAAGTTTTTCTTATCCAACTCGACTTTTTAATTTTTATTTGAACATATTTTTTGGTCATTTAATTTTGACAGATACTGTCCGTTTGGTTGAGCGTTCGAATCCAGTGAGTGGCCGCGTAGAGATCTACCGTGATGATGCATGGGGAACAATTTGTGACAATGACTGGGACATTGACGATGTCCAGGTTGTCTGTCGTCAACTCGGGTTCCCTGGTGCAGTGGAAGCGAAGTCCGGTGCTTACTTTGGCCGGGGAGACGGTCCAGTACACATGGAAGGCTTGGCGTGCGATGGCTCGGAGGAGCGACTGGCCGACTGCCCGTCTCATTGCTGGGAGGAACCAACGTGCGGGCACGGGCAAGATGCAGGAGCTGTCTGTCAAGATGATTAGTAACAGCAGAGAACTATTGCGAAGTTATCAGTTTGACCTAGTGTATATACTCATTCATACTGACTCAAAGTGTAGCTCGAAAAAACTGCATGTATTAATGTTTAAAATATAAGACACACGAAATTTGTCTGCAAAGTAATGGCTTTTTACAGACCCTTTTACTTAGGCTTGATATCAAGTTGTTGGACAGCGCAGTCGCAGGCAAAAAACAAGCCGTTCTGCATGGGAATTTAATAGTTCAAGTATCTGTCCATGATACATACACAGTGTAAATACAACGCGCCCCTGTATTTCGAGCAGGTGTATCGGCTGGTAAGGAGTCCATTAATGGCGAGGACGGTAGATTCGTCCAAATGGACGAGGCGAAGCCGAACCCATTCACATACATCTGAAGTTCCGAGTCTATTCTCTTACTTGAACTGGGTACTAATACAAATAACACAAATTAGATTTGACGATTTTAAAAGTCCATAAAGAGAAATGAGCAGTGAAATTGAGAGAGTAGAAGTGAAATCAGTGAAAGTAGATACGAAACAAAGTGTTCAAATTACTGAGAGACAAGGATAAAATGTACACCATAAAATATCCTTGATGTAACAGGAAAATCGAATGGATTTAGTTTCGAAGAGCAGTTTTACGAAAAGATATGCATGTAGTTTAAGCTTTAGTAGATATGGTGTATTATTTTGTCGTTTTAAATTTTCGGTATTTTCCCGTTTACAATAAAAGAACTAAAATCAGATCAATTTAAAAAAAAAAACACCCCGAAACTGTACATTTTACAAAAAAGACTGGACTGTAACTTTTCAACTTAGCAGGCTGGCGCATGGACTTGTTTTGCAGGGGATGTTCACAATACCTGTAGATTCTGACACTAATCAAAAGTTGACAGTAGATTCCTCGAAAAAGTGTAGATATGGAGAAAATATTCTACAGTTCACTGAATAGAGTGACTTCACTGGAGTATCGTTTAAATTCAAATAAAGTAATGCAACCTAGGAGCATGATTAAACTTCACTTGGACTTTAAGGAATTTCAAAGGTCAATTTAGACGCCATCTGTCTCCACCTGCCTTGAAATATTGTCAAATGCTGTAAAAACTTAGGCAGTTCAAGTTTAAATTTCCTCCATGGTATAACGGAACGCAGCTGCACTACCACAGTACAGTAAAGATTCAGTGCTTCATTATCTCCTGACCCATTTCTGATCAAAAGCAATGTTTTGGCATATCACAATTTCAATAAAATACTTTTCAGTTTAGTACAGGTAACATTTCTGCCAAGTTGAACCTTCTGGTTATTTATTTATACGGCTGAGTGCTAATTTTGTTTCATGTTTATTTCTATATTTTCTAAGTTCATATCAGCAGGGCAGTGTGTTGTACGACTACATCAAAATATTAGCCTCCAAATTGAAATCTAAAGTTCCATTCTTTACACCCCAAAGCCCGTATTTCCATTGTTGATTGCAGATATCACAGTAGTTTCTATTTACTTGCACTAAGTTCAAGGTATGAGCAATTTTCTTTATACTTCCATGGGTAGTTTTCATTTTGAAATCTGAGGCATGCATGGTTGTATAATCCCTCTCCTATGTCCATCACACGCACGGACGTGTATAATAAAATCTGGACTCGCAGTGCCCTTAATCAGCTTATAGAGTCATTGAATCCACTCGCGGCCATTTTACCGAGCCGACTACAAAGCTTTCCTGGCAATGCCCGCTTTTGTTGTTCCTGACGTCAATAGAAGGGAGCCAATCCTCGCATTTGTATTCGGTAAAATGGCCGCTGGTTGACTTCTTTTCATACAAGGCTTCTTTTCATACAAAGGCGTTGCAAGTGCATTTTTTTTTATATACGTCCGTGATCACACGTCATCCAGTCCAAGCCTGACCAAAAGATGTTCAGATGAACTGTCACAAACGTTTCTTTGCCACTGTTCACACTGTAATATTCATGAGTTGTCTTGTAAAAGCATTTTTGTGATTGGCATTTTGAATGGTTTGTGATGGACTCGACTACAGTGCTGCTGTGAGGCACCTTGAATGGACTACGTAAACAAAAATACCAGTTGTACACCTTTTGAGTTAATTTTCCTCAGTCATGGCTGCTGAGAAAAATTAAAAATTGGAAAATTGAGGACTCTGATCTAACACTGTTAGCTGAAATCCCAGAAGGGCAAGAAAGCGAATTTGTCTTTTAAAATTTAAGCAATGTGAAAATAAGATATTTAAAAGCCGTTAAGAGTGTTGAATAAAAACCTAGATTTCACGAAGTATTTTCTTTAACACTTAGTAGGTGAAACCTCATAAGTTTCAATTCCTAAAAGTGCTTATTGATACAATGTGCATAGGGGTATTTGTATCCGTAGGCGATGTTTAAATCTGTTTGCATGCATTCAAGTTAATTAAAGCTACGAAAAAATGTAAGGAGCATTTTTGGAAACCTTCATTAATCAAAATTATTTTCGGGTTACCCGATGATGTTGGCTGGTTCGAATCAGATGTAGCAGCGGGTACCACGAACAACTAATTCAAGGGTGGATTTGCGCCGGGGAGAAGTCCTTGTAAAGAAGTCGTTTGAAAATAGTAAAAAGTGACAGGGACGTGTTTGGTCATATATGTTGTCTTCCTTTTGTTTAATACAGGTATGGGGATTAAAGGGTCAAGAAAAGGGCAATTAAACCGGGAAAATTTGACGGGCTACGACGGGCTAGAGGGAGCAAGAGATCAGGCCTGGGGCAAGGGGTTGTCCCGCTGAGCGTCTAGACCGAAGGCCTAACAAAAACAAGAAAGGAGAAGGGTGGATAATCAACATATCGGCAGTTCTCATTCTTTTGCTTGAGCTGTTGTAGATTGCCTTTTGGCAGTCTCTCAAGTCAACTCAACATGACAACTGTCCTCAAACCTTAATTTGTTGAAGAATAAAGACTGTTCCCTCGCGGGATCAAACTCAAGAAATGAATAGAACTTTCGCTCATCGTAAAGCTTGGCCATGACGGGAAACGTTTGATGATGAATGGTAATGGTTGCGGGCTCCTGATCCCCTTTCAGTAAGTGGAAACTCCGCTCTCCCTCCCAAGAGACCGAGGCTTGGAGCCTCTCTCATTGGCTGGAGGGCTTACACGTGAATTCCAGAACGCCCATTCGTGATTGTTGCCCCAAATCTGTCACCCGTTCGAGAATTGACGACTGTGTGCGTGAGGATATGTCTTATCCAGAAACTAATGATCAGTAGTAGCCACCGTGTTTAAAGCCTCGCACGCATACGTGTACGTAGTGCAACGATTATGGACAGCGTTGCGATTTTTCTGGGTAAAAGGTTAAATCCATGCCCCTCCTTTCTCTATCGCTTGCGCGGGCCCAATTGGAAACACAGAAACTTGAAACATCCTTACAGTCGGAACTGTGAGCTGCCCTTCCGGAATCCATGACTCAAATTTCAGGAAATCAAACAATGGGTTTGCACGAGTCGAGGCTGGCACAACATTAATGTCCTCCTTCGAGGAATGTGCCAACTTGCCCTTAAGCTGCCCTCCCAGCATGTGGTAAAAACCGTATTATCAAGACAATTAAGCTGAGAACCTTTCTCATTGGCCATGATACTAATGGTCCCATTATAAAAGATCAAGAGCTGGTACCGGCTGGAAGCAAAGCCAGAAGCTCACTCTGAGGCTTGCTGAAGATCACCAAGGCTTTGTTTTTAACTAGCTACCTATCTTAAAAATCAGTATACTATTGTAGAGACAACTTGATTGAAGTTGTCTCGGTATTAGGGTGTTCAAAGTTTGTACATGATAGCAAGCATGCATAACTTTGTAGGCCGAAGTGCCTGCCCCTGGTGGAGCTGGCTCCTACATTGTTGGGCTTCTTTCTGCGTGATTTGGGCCAGTGCCCAGTATCATGAAGATTCATCATCACGTAAGTAAGCCTATGCTCAATCGCTTCATTTTGTAACGCAATACTTGTATTTTCTGCATTAAAAAATTCATGTGAGTCCACCTGCAGGGAAACACTGTTGCACTAAGAACAATGCAAAAGAGTTAAAATGTACGGACGAATCCTAGCACGTCCGCTACGGTTAGGTCTATTTTCTGAGTATCTCAGCGTATTTCCATTGGAGTGAAAACCTGGACCTAGCTCCAGCAACTGCCAGTCTCTGACCGCTAGGATTTGGATACGGTTCATGTAATCCGACTTTTAAAAGTCAAGGTTTAGGTTTCAAACGCCGTTGTTCAAACTTTCTTGTAGAGGTTCAGACCTACTCCCACACAGGGCTGTATAATAGACATATTATTTGAATATTGACTGCTTCGAGTGGTATAGTAAAACTAACCTCCCGACATAATTCATGGAGCATTCTATTTTCCCGAGGTGATCCATGGAGCATTCTATTTTACCGAGGCAAAGCCGAGGCAAAATAGAATGCTCCATGGATCACCTCGGGAAACTAGTTTTACTGTACCGCGAGAAAAACAGTCAATATTTATTTTATAACACCTCCCCACAGATTCTTCACAATTTAAACTAAAATCGATAATGAAACACCAAACTGGGATTTACATTCATCAAATTTAACTTAAGAATTCCAAGCAGAACAGCAAGGTTTGAATACATTAATTCACCAATGTTGTTCACTATGAGCCGAAATACACGCCTATGCTTTCGTTGCTTTTCAGAATGAGGCTGCATGGTTAAGTCTTTTTGAAGCGGTGGTATAAAATAGTAAAACTAGCAAACGTCACATGACACACTTTTGGCCAATCAAGATACAGAATCTGTGGGTGAGGCGTTATAAAAACACATAGACCACCAGTCTTGCACGTATAACGTTTTTAGTTGTGTATTTCTCATGGTTTTGATCGTCTATTTCTGAAGAACGGATGAAGACAACGTTTGTAGTAGGGTTTTCACTTTTGAAAAAACAATTCCTTCAAATGGTAACAGCAGGTAATTTTTAAAATGCCCTCCAGTACGTGTTCCACATGGAAGGAAAGAAGACATTTTTGTCAATTATTTTGTTTGAACAATTTAAAATTTAGTACACTTTCTCCAAAATACCCACTGAATCTCGCTTTGTTTTC